GGTAGTGGCGCTTATGCTGCTTCCCGAGCAGGCAACCATCACAAATGGGATGACCTTTGTCTTTAAACAGAGGAGGGACGCCATCGACCTGTGTAGGCAGGCGACGAACAGCCCTCTCAGACGCGTGGCCAAGACGCTTATGCCAAAGATAAGTAGACTCTGGCTTGGATGCAACATGGAGAGAAGGTGGTTTGATGATCTCATCTGGTATAAACCAGTAGAGTCCGTGAATATTACGACCCTCCATAAAAACTTTGCCCGAACGGCCACCAGAAGTAAAATACTTTGCATCCGTAATCTGGCATAAACCGTTCCTAATAACCCAAGTATAGCCAGGCGTGGTCCATGGGCGATGCGGATAAATAGCGACCTTTGACATGAGGATTGTATATAACATCCTTAAATTCAAGGACTTCACCATGGTTTCGGACTTTTATGGTACCTACGCCAAGACTGGCATGTCTCGAACCATCGGCTACGGTGATATGTCCACGCATTGGGTGATCATAGTCGATCTCGTAAAAATCCTCAGGATAACTAGACACATTGTTCGTACATCCAGAATCCTGAAGGAAACCTCTCTCTGATATAGCCACAAGATCATCAATATGATCGTGGTTTGCTACTGCTTCACTTGCGCTCACTCTGATATAAGCGGAGAAAACAGGTGTATTGGTACCGGAACCAGAAGCAACAGCATTGTTTACATTTGAACTACCCCCATTGGCCTTTCCTTTGCCCTTGCCTTTACCCTTTCCTTTGCCCTTATGATGCTTAGGGCGCTTCTCAGGGTACTTGACCCAGCATTGGTTCGAAGGATGATTACCCCCACAAGTTTCACACTTCTTCTTGCCAGGAAGACGAGTGACTGTGGAAATATTATGGGCTGATCCTTCACCCTGGGAAGTGTTGAATTTGACTGTGGTCAAGATCGTCTGCTTGACCACACCAGGCTTGAGCTTGTCGGCTGCAGTGTTAGCAAGGTAGGAAGTTACCCAGCCTTCAGAAGCAGGGAGTGCCGACAAAAGCATGAGAGAATATTGAGTATCAGTCCATGCCAGCCAGCTCATTCACTCAGAATTGCTAGCAAAATCTAGGCTACTGGTCAAGGGTGTTACTCACAAAACCTGGGGGACTGCCCAAGGGTCACAAATGTCACACTTTTTGAAAACTTATTTTATTCATATTTAGGTGTTAGATCATGATATTGATGATGGAATTGATGGCATCTAGATAAAGTAATTGATGTGGAACGATTTTTGATTGACATCAGTGCTTTTGATGGCTCTGTCAAGATACATCAATTTCAACCCAATTAGGATGTATACCTTTGCCCTGCATTACAAGCCTACCTAGATGTTTATCCGGGTCTTCGGCCTGAAGAAATGGTGATTTGCCTTTCCATATCTGGTAATAGCTTAGTCATAGCTATCAAACTCATTGACATATTCACAATTGATTGAATGTCACATTTTCCTGTCACAGCATCCCGTTTGGGCTTGCCCAGTTTTGTGAGTAACACCCTTGACCAGTAGCCCAGGTTTTGCTAGCAAAACTGACTGCCTATCCTGTGCCAGCAGTGATAGCAGAGTTACGAAGGGTGTCCATCTGGTCGATTTGCTTCTCCAGAGTCTCCCCCGCAACAAACTTGTAGGAGTTGAGCAGCTTCCAATGCAAAAAGCCTTCTACTGCAGCTGTTTTGCTAAAAGGCTTCTGCTAGAGCATCCCAAAGCTCCTTGGCATTTCGCTTGACCTTGGTAGTGCCGCTGACCTTGGAGCCGTATTCTCTCTGCAAGGTATTGGTCATATGGGCCTTCATGAGACCAACAGCGACCCAATTGGCTTCGTCCCCATTTGGCTAGGGCTTCTACCTGGTCATCTGCAGGGCGATGAATGGTTCCTTCAGTATGCCCCCACACTTTCTGGATCATAAGGAGGTTCAAATACTCTCCTCCCAGACCTGATAATTGGTGCCATCCAACTTTGGGATGACAGTTGAAACAGTACCAGTAAGCGACATTTCTAGCGCAACTAGTTCCTGGAGGGTTGGTGGGATTGGATAGTAAGGAGTACCAAAGAGTCGATGAAGTTCAGGAGAGTAATTTTCGGCGTAATCGTCGAAATCTGGATTTTCGTGGTCTCCTACAGCGTAAAGCTCAGCAGAGTTATATCCTCCACTGGTGTTCAAAGAGTTGTAGTAAGAGTGTTCTTCGTCGTAATCACCGGGTACCAGTAAAGAATTGGTGTGGACGATGGATCCAGTTTAATCTGATACTTCAAAGGAAGTCAGATCGGTTGTAAACAATAGAGAGAGGTGGATAGTGCTCTGTGACCCTACAGTCAACAGAGTGCCAAGTACTAAAGGCCTAGCATAGTGTGCCCCAAATATGTAATGCCCCAGAAGAAGAGTAAAATCTATCTATCCAAGGGAACCCAGATGCCCCATGCACGCAGTTGTATTGCCCACATGGTCCAGTTCGTCCAAGAACTGTTTTAGGTGGCTTGTCCCAAGGACTACGTAATTATCTAAGTATAGTATATGCCGCCGAAGGGTGTTTATGACGACCACAATGGGCAATCATTCCCTTTTGACACATCTGCCACACGAGGACAGAGGTCCACCCTTTTCTGTTCAGGACAGCATCTCACAGCCTCGCAACTCCCTAAGGAGATGTCCCCAACAATCCCTTCTGTGCAGAGGTCTGATCGAGTTTGACATGCACTGACAGGGCCTGGTCGCTAGCCAGAATGATCGGTGTTGAACCGTCATATTGCTGTTATGAATTTACCCCACTGGGGAAGGACTGGCTATGCGCTTGAACCTGAAGTGAGAGCAGGGCCGGCAATGGCAATACTAGGTTAAGAAATGATAGGTAAAAAGAGGGGGCTTTGTGTAGGTAAAGGGGCAACACTAGCCTTGACACAGAGTGCCATGCCATGTCCAATAAAGGACAGTACAATAGAGGCAGCACCGATCCGAGCAAGAAGGACTTGCCTTATGCAGGAGAAGGGGCGGGGCCCATAACCTGACAAGACGATATCAGAACTGTGTGAATAACAACAGGACTTGATTGAGTATATACCTGACAAGACGATATCTACATAGAGTCATAAGCATATGTAAGATAGAGGAAAGCATGTAAGTACTCACCAGAACTGTGTGAATAACAACAGGACTGGAGAGACGACGAGCTAGACTACTCAGTATATATACTCAGGCTAGCTATGCTGACTACACTACGTTGACTACGATTTATAAGTACGATGAGTAAGTAAAGGTAGAGGATGACTGAGCGAGTATTCAGTCCTTACCAAGCGCATTGGTTATTACCAAGCAGTCATGTGCAAGTATGGTAAGCGGATATGACTTCAACTTCAACACTACGCTTAAGCTTGCGAGTTTGGGTCCGCGAGAAGAAGTATTTCTCTTGACTAATCTTCCGACCACCGCCCAGCTGGCACCCTTTCTCATCCATGTTATAGATGTTCTCGGGCGGTATGTCGTACTCGCGAATGGCATTCTCCAGCTTGTCGAAGTATTCCATGACATTGGCACGATGGAAAGCACGTTGTCGTTGAGGAGCGATGGGAGCGGATTTCACCAGGTTAATCTCAGGATGTCTATTAAGAAAGGCATAGCAGTAGTTCTTCCCAGGTTGCTTCCCATCTGACCGAAGCATGCCTGCACGAAACTTCAGCCCTTTCTTAGAGACTGGGTCGCCAGTAATGCCCTTGTGTACAATCCACTTTGCCAAAACATCTTCCGTCGCAGGATTGAGGAATTGCTTCTGTATTTGGGCCTCTTCAAATGCGACGCGCTTGTTGCGAAAGCGGTTGTTGAGTGTATTGTATGGCAACTTGAATTGACGGGCTGCTTCCGCAACGTTTGGCTTAACTGAGTTGCTGGCCTGCCGAGAAAGATAGGCACATGCTTCCCTAATCTTGACCTCCTGTGCTGCCAGCCGCTTGGTCTTTGCGGAAGGCCCCGCCATCCGCGACCGCGGTTTGTTGACTCGAGATGCGCAGCACGTGGTCTCTGGTTTCAAAGAACACAATCAGCGGAGTATGAAATGTCACGCTGCAACTTCGGCGGCCTCAGGCAGATTCATTTTTCCCCGGGAACAAAATCTGAAGATGTAGGTATACTTGGGTAATGTTTCTTGAAATGCCCCAGCCTTTTTCGGGCTCGACCGAGGTCATAATCGATGGAAAACGGCCAACCATACCTGAGATTACCCAACTTGATGTGCCGGTAGCCAAGATTTTCCATCGTCTCTGAACAGAATATTCCAATTTTGAGTACATATACATATGAGAGTAGTGTGAGTGAAATCCGGATGATACCGGAGTCAAAATATGAGACGGGATGGAGGAAAGTTGTGATTACCCAGTCATCGGGAAATTACCCAATCACTGGGAACCACAGTACCTGAGATTACCCAACTTGATGTGCCGGTAGCCAAGATTTTCCATCGTCTCTGAACAGAATATTCCAATTTTGAGTACATATACATATGAGAGTAGTGTGAGTGAAATCCGGATGATACCGGAGTCAAAATATGAGACGGGATGGAGGAAAGTTGCGATTACCCAGTCATCGGGAAATTACCCAATCACTGGGAACCACAGTATGGACACGACAGGATTCGAAGATGATCGATGATACTCGATCAACTCATTGAACGCTGTTCTAAAAATATCCGCCTTAAACACTCATTTGTCGATGAACAGAGGAGCCATTTCCCTTGATTTTCGTTTCGACTCGCACCCGCAACGCTATCGCACGACATCGATGCCCAATTTGACACCTTTATACATACGAACCGGCCACCAAGCGCACCAACACAAGTACCTCGGTAGTATCATCACCCTGCCGCCAAACAAGCGCCAAATCTATCAACAACAAGGGCTCTTCACATAAGGATCGTTGTTGCCCACGCCCGTCGTGCTTGCTTTCCCCCACCATCCCTTCACGTCTCGCTCGTTTCACCCCTTACATTATGCGGAGCTCAGTCTTCGTCCTCCTCGCCGGCATAGCGGTTGTTGCTAATGCTGCCGCTCCCACCACCGAACAGGAAATGGCAGGAGTCCTGGGCCATGGTGAGTTACAGCGTCGTTCGTAAGAAAAAAAAAGTTGATCAACTAACTGCAGACGCCGAATGTGTGGCCTATGGTCTTCCCCTCACAAGCAACCTCGGCACCGCGTTCCCAGCGACGGACGCCCCTAGGACAATCACGGATGTTCGCAACGACACGGAGGGCCTGAAAAAGTTCCAGTCCATACAAGGAAGCATCCCAAATATCCCGATTAAGACACCCGGCATCGCATACGACAGCGCGAAAGATCCTGACTGCTGGTGGACGACCTCGAACTGCGTCACGCCCAAGCTGGCCGGCTTGAAGCCTGACATTTATCAGGCGCCGGAGGTCAGCGCTCCGTTTGTCAAGACTGCGGATTTGAAGTTCTGACTTGTTTGCCCCTGCTAGCCCCGGACCCTTGGGTATGGATTTGACGACGGCCCGGCTTGCGACCACAACGAGTTCTACAACTTTTTGGGCAGCAAGAACCAGAAAGCGAGTAAGTGCCCGATCTGACTGCTATCATCTTGTGCGCGGTATGGTATTGACGTCCTGCTCAAAGCCATGTTCTATATCGGCATCTACGTCATCTGGTTCCCGCTGCAAGCCCAACGCGCTGCCGCCGACGGACACGAAATCTGCGTCCGTGAGTGCCTTCATTGTTTTCTCCGATGTGGCCCACTTATCTTGCTCTAAGATACTTGGTCGCATGGAAACATGACCCAATTGTCGAATGAATCCGCGTTCGCTGAGCTCTGGTACACCATCAAGGCCATCAAGCTTGTGACTGGACTGACCCCGACTTGCTGGCGGGTAAGTATCCTGTCAAAATTATACAAGTTCAGTTCAATTAAGACCTTTCCAAGCCTCCCCACGGAGACGTGGATGACAGGATCCGGTTCATTGCCCAGTCGCTCAACCTCGACACAATCATGTGGCGATACGACTCGTTCGACTGGGCCAATGGCCAGCTGGGCCAGACTCCTCAGACAATCCAGGGCAATTACGACAAGCTTATCAACGATGCGAAGAGCGGGGTGCTCAACAACGTTGGTTACCTTTGTCAGGGCAGTTCGTGATCTGACATGGCTCGTTCCAGAACGGCGCGATCATTCTCACCCACGAGCTTAGCAACTTCACCATGCAGTTAGCCATCGACAACTACCCCAAGTTCGTTGACGCGTTCGACGTATGTCATGCCGCTCTCTGTCTTCGCGATAAAATTTTTTAATTGGTTACTAGCACATCGTTCCAGTCGGCATCGCGATGAACAAGACCCAGCCCTACGCCGAAACAACTGTAACGTTCCCGTCCTTCAACGACTGTGCGGTCCTTTTCCCCCTTGACAACTACGACTTTCTGACTTGGGCTTCCTTTCCAGATGTTGCCCAACGTGGCGGCAAGACCACGTCGACCAACTCTACGGGAACCCCCAGCGGCAACACGTCCAACAATACCGGCAACAAGTCGGGGGGCAGCGCTTCCCAATCCGGTGGCGCCAACCCGACAAAGCCGTCCGGCGCAAGCGCCGGCCTCGCCCTCCGCCCCAGCCTCGGGCTGGCTCTCTTCGGAGCTATCATCGCGGGTGTCTTCTCCTGCTAGTGCAGGGCCTTCCCGCCCTCTACATACCCTTCCCGCGCGTTTGCGCAGCAGCCGTGCCTTTTGAGTGCTGCCGTGGGCACCGGAGCCTGCGTCGGAAAAAACTCAATAACGATGGACTTCATTACCGCACGTTAGTGCAAAAGTACGACCGTTTGGTTACCGGATTATACCTACATGTAGAGTCAACTAAAAACTTGGGTTTATGTCCTCGGGTTCAATGAAGACTGTGATATCAGTTTTCAACGCTTAAATACACAAGTAGTAATAAGTACACGACAGTTGCCCAGGCTACAGAATGTCCAAATAACAAATGCTTTTTACAAGACAAGTCGTGCTCCCGCACCAGCAGCAAGTACAGAAACCCATCCACGTTCAATGCCTTCTTCCGTCAGGTACACCGAACCAGTGACAAGTTCTTCTTCATGGTCGTCAGTGTCCTGATCTTCCTCTCTTGTCCCCTCGACTGCTTGTGAATCTCCTTCTGCCGCCGTTGCGACCAATGCAGGCCCATGATAATGATATTCCACCTTCCGTAAATCTCCTTGACGCTTAGGCTCCCGCACCCTTGCGCTTGCGCCTGACAACCTGAAATGGCCTTCATATTCAACGGGCAAACGCACAGTTGCAGCACCATCAGTGGTGACCGCTCGCAACCGAAGATAGAGTGGCGGGTCGTCGTTGGTGTTGCTCGTTAACGATGATATGTTAAGCGAGAGCGAGGAATTCGACGTGTAAGCGTCAACGCCGCCGAAACCAGGCGCAAGGGATACGTCGGCATTTATGGGGGCATTGCCCGTTATGAGACGCAGGTTGTTGCTCTCGTATCTGCCAGAAATGCTGGCATTTACGTGGGATGAAAAATGGTCTGAACCAGTTGAGACATCGAGGGCGGATGAACGCGCCAGCTGCAAGACGTAAGCTTTGGTTCAAGGGATGGGTCAATCAATGTCCACATACACCGACGGACACGCTAGCATTCCAGGTCGATAGCAAAAGTCGACTGGGAGCCGAAATGGACTTGAAATGGGGGTGTCAGGCTATGCGCATGAGGGAGATATGCATGGCGCACCTTGACCATTATGGGTTTCTCGCCACCCGTGATGAAGGCAGCACCAACAAAGTCAACCCCAGCACCAATCAGGTCGTCAATATTGTATGCGAAATTAGGCAGTGTCGTCTGCAGCCCCGCGAGATTCGTCGATGCGGGGAGAATGAGGGTCATGTTAACGTGCTCCGAAGCCGCATCTTCAGGGCCAGTCGCCTAGACAGTGAAATGTGGATTAGTAGCGAAAGGGGAGGACATCCCAGTCACTCACGAAGACGCCAAACGCGGCTGTGCTCGTGTCGCTGCCCCTCTTCGGCGCCAGCGAACACACCGTCGCATAGCCCAATGAGGCTGGCACGACCACAATGCGGGCAGAGTTGGACGGAAGCTTAGTCGATGTCGTTATCCGCAAAGTGCCGCCGACAACTCCTTGGGGCCCAGAGAGGTGGTATCGGGAAACGCTGATGACCGTGTTTGCCTGCAGCGGCAGCGCGAACTGGTAGCTCCGTATCGTGGACGGCTGGTCTGGGTTGCCTGTCAGACAGCTTTTCACCTGGAATGCTTTTGGAATGGCCTCGTTTATCTAGAGAGCGTGAACAAAAAGTAACAACACGACAAAGTAATGCACGCACCCTATCAGTTAATGTCGGAGGAGTCGGCCATAAAAATGCCACGACGACCAGAGCGGCAAACGCGAATACGAGAAAGAGCAGGACTGCGCAACAACAGCGACAGCAAGAACATCGGGATGGTTGGCGTCTGGAGCGAGGAACGTAAACAGCGTAAGGGGCAAGCGTCTCTGTAGCGCTGTATTGCGGAGGTGATGATGAAGAAAGCAGAGGTTGCTGCTGCGCCCCCCCTCCATGATGGTGGTTGGAAGGAATGCAGTATGATTAGCGCCGTCGCGACATTCAGCCCCATCAGTCATTAGACCAATACTTTGCTCAATTACAATCGTACAGTTATTCTATTTGTTCTACGCTTTGCTCTGCTCGATCACAAGACAACTATCTGTAGCACCATAGGTAAGTTTTTAGGTATCTGCATGCAAGGGTCATCATACCTTGCCCTCTCCCATAAGGCGCCGCCCTTCGACAAGCTCGTGTGCGGCTTCTTCCCAATCTGTCCTCAGAATCCGCCCAACCCGCTCCTCGATAGAGGGCATGCGCATGGTTTCGGGGACAAAGCTACGAAGAAAATTTCAGCGACTGCAAGGAATCGGATGGGCGAACCCACCTCTCTATAGGATCATCTATTGCGCTTTTCAGCGCATCGACAAAGCCATGTGTATCTCCGACGAAGATGTTGTAGACATATGGCGGGTCAAGAAATTTCAACGTTTCGTGCTGGGCAGCCCAGCCCAAGCGGTTGGATGGGTCAGCGTGGTCCCACTGTTAAAGCGTCAGTGAAAAACTTGGTCCATGCAAGAATAATATCGTACAATGTGGATGGGGTTAATGAACGGGACTCCAAGACAGAGTGCATCATATGGCGTCGGGGAACTGGTGGCGGTAAGTTATCACAATGGCATTTGCATGAGGGGACCCACGTTCCCGGCGCACCCATGCCCACCAACGCGACAGACTTCGCAAGCGTGTCGTAAAATTTAGTCGGGGTCAAATGTCCTAAATTTCGCATTATCCATTCTGAGCCCCCATTCTCGCCACGGATAAAGTCGTCAGGCAATTCGTCCTCCCGTAAACCAGCCAGGAAAAGCACTTGACGCGCGTCTTCCTGAGCTTCAGGCGAAACGATGCTTCGCTGTTGGATAGCTGCAGCGGCGAGTTCAAGCTCTTGGGGTTCCCAGGCACGGTGGCCTGCCGTGAAATATCGTCCATTCTTGCCCATTACATATATTTGGGGATGTGCACGGCGGTCTTCATGCGGAACAAATGTTCGAGTCTCACAAGACGTTTCAACGCTATAGCCAAAGTAGGTGTGGTTTTCACCGAGACCACGGTACTTAAAACCATAGTGAGCTACAATTAGGCGTCAAAACTGGAAACAGCTTACCTTCTCTGGGCTCAAAATCCATCTTTCATCCAGTAGATGAGAACCAACCGTCCACCAATTGAAGCTGAAAATCTTCCAGGCGGGTATGCCTTCAGGATTATTTGTTGTCTTGTGGCACATGATGTTGGGGGAGTTGAAGCAGCGGTCAACATCGTCGGGATTGAGAATGACCATTATTATAAGGGTCGGAAAGGTACGATAGAGTTGGATAGTGCGCTGGAGGTCGACAGCGGAATACAAGATGCTGTAACTAAGGGAATTGAGAGCGAGGACCTGCGAGCGTAAGTCTCAAACGAAGAGTCGGCAATAGAAGACACACTGTAGACCGCGCCCAAAGGTCTTCTCCACCATCCCAGCCAAGAAGGGCTCCGCGAAAGTGAAATGAGTCCAACAGTACAACTGCAAAAGTCTCAACCAGAAGAAGTATGCCCGTGGTATACTCACCCTTAGTCTGGTTCTCTGCGCAGTTGGATTCTTCCAAGCACGTAAAAAGCGCTTGCACTGTTCGTCGGTTCTCTAGCTCCCATATATCCGCATGCTCTGGGTCGTTAACAGGAAAGAGGTAGTGGGCGAAGGAAGCCCGGGATTCGTTGAGATGTCGGTCGTGGCCGGGTAGCTCTGGTGACAATAGTGCCTCAGTCTTGTCCCTCCCCGGTAAAAGTGTTCGTTCAGCACGATCAATCCAAAGGAGCGAGAACAGAACAACGCCAACGACGAGGGTGGTCAAGGACGTGCGCCCTCGTGGCGACATGGTGGGCAAACAAAAGGATTAAGCTGCCGTACTATGTCAGGCTGTCGTTGGAGTGGGTCAAATTCTGGTGGAGCTTCAGAACATGATGATTGCAAAGTTGAAGGAAATCCACTTGAGCTGTGTGTGATATTACATCTCCAGCCATCCTGTACCAGTTTTGTGATATCGATATACCGACCGCTGCTGGACATGCTTGGACGATAGTCGGTAGCCTGAGCGGGCCCGGGGCAAATGGAAAGATGGACAAGTGTGACAAAAATGTGACACATTTGATCATGGACCAACTCGAACCTAGTTTGCCACCTGAACTGGAACGCGAAGTGTTCAAAATAGCGGCCTGGACATACCCATCGACGATACCCGCCCTGCTCCTTGTCTCAAAACGCGTGTTTGCTTGGTTATTTTGCCGTGTTTCTTCTAGACGCTCCACTGAAAACAAAATACGACACAGGACAGAGGCCCTCCTCTTCCACACTGTTGCCGCCACAGATGAAGCGCAAATACTTGCTCTCAAAACTAAATCACTGGAAATTCTCCGTACCTCGATTCGCAACCTCTGTTTGGACGATGGCCCAAGCCAGTGGTCCCAGTCAGAAATCTTGACCACCCTTGAAACTTGTGTTCAAGTCCGGCGGATCGCGCTGGGCTCCATGTACTGCGGGCCCCAGATTCTCCCTTACCTTTCACAGATGCGACTAGACCACCTTGCCGTATGCCTGCATGCATTATTCGGTGGACATGATCTGCCCTACTGGGACGTTGATTCTGCTCTATTTGCAACCGTGACGCATCTGGACATTTCCGACGACATTAATGTCTGCTCGGCCGCTTCGTCAACCTGTGGATCTCACCTCGTTCAGCATCTCGTCGCTCTCCCCAGCCTGACTCATCTGCGTCTACCAGGGATCCTTCCTGACGACATAGCGGAATGCTTCAGGACATGGTCTCAACTTCAAGTCCTTCTCATCTCACATTCGAACTCTATCCGTCGCAGGATACGCCTTGCGCGCTGGCTTCGACAGTCGTGTTTATATGATGACTCCCGTGTGGTTCTGGTGGTCCGGGCGTCTGGACGGAACGATTGGGAGGATGGCACTCGTGGACTCAGAGACCAATGGGCAAGAGCAGATGAACTTGTCGCGCATCGAACAAAGTGGAAAATAGAATGTATGTCTTTCTGCTGAAGCTCACGTTTGTCCAATAACTCTCTTGGCAGGGAAGAGGTTTTGCCTCGATTTTATAGGCTAGGTATCACGTAGAAACTTGCCAATAAAACGTTTTTAGGGTACACGTCCAGGCAAGGATACTCGCCACCGACGACTCGTGTCGAATACGTTTTCTTCATGCCTCACGACTCTACCGGGCCCTTATCTTTGCCCATGCGTCCCGCATCCTTTTGCTGACATGGGTTTATCTTCACTCGTCCACTCAAAAATCATACCGAAAGCCAGTAGCTCACGTTGAAAATGCCCCGACGCACAAGACAAAATTGGCGCGGAGTCAAGTACGTATTTACATGTGGCTTTCATTTCGCTTGCTAGAAATGACACTTGACAATGCAGACTTCCGCCTTATCGCATTGTCCTTCGAAGAATCGACTGTACTTGCTCTAATCTCCATGCCAAACGCGGTCCATACTTGGAAGAAAGTTATGACGCGACTGTCCCTGCCCTGTAGCACCTCCTCAAATGGCCGGGGCCGACAAGCGGGTACTTGCGTTGGATTTTACTCCGGTTTTTCGGACCGTCATCAAGTTGCCACAATACATTTTTGAAGCTTTGCCGCGGCCAACAACCCCCAGCATAATGACATCCGATTCCGCGATTCTTTCCTCGACAAACCCAAACTTGACCCAAACCCAAACCCACCGACAACAGTCAGAAGTTAGAAGTCGGCTGGAGCGTTAGATCAACCTGAGGTATGATGTGCATCTTCAAGTTTACGATTCCAGCCAAATACTGACTGACAATGATTGGGTTCCGCAGAATGATATTGAACAGGGAACAACTATACTTATTATGCTGCTGTTGCCCACGGCACTTATCTGGTGTATGCCAGACACCAAGTTTGTGCCTAGTCGAAAATACCTTTCCCGTCTAATCCTCATGCAGCGTGGGAGTAGATTCATTTTGAGACGTCCCAAGACAAAGACCGAACTTGTGGATCACGACGTACGAGAAGTCGGGATGTGCAAACTAGCCACGCACAACACATGCGGTTGTCTTAGCCGAAGGTAAACTTCATATCGCATCGTAATGTTCTCTTCTTACTTCGGGAGATACTAATCCAACAGCCCACAACGACCAGACCTTCAATCACTGGCAGTACAATCTCCGAACTGAATTGAAGCAGACATGGTGTACGGTTTCATTTTCGCTTCGACGGTCTTGTTGACCAGAAGCATCTATCCAATCTCGTCAAGAGCGCATTCAAATTTTCTCTCCTCCTCTAGTCACCTTCGGCAAATTCTAAACTTGAACGCAAGAAAGGCATTGAATGAGTAGTACATTGCAAAAAGACATAACTTATGGTATCAATTCTCATCTACTTGTGGGTGCTTCTAAACAAACCTCTCTCAGCGGACTTGCGAGCCACGCGCAGCGCGCTCTTGGGATGCTCTGCAGGCCCAGCAAAACTCGTCCACCCTATCCACGTCGCGTTGAATCTCGGGACCGAAGTTCTGCAGGAGAAGTTAAACGGCATTACGGGACTCCGGATCGGTGATAACGCACTCTTGCACAGCTGGTGGATCGACACCCTCGTGGGTGGTACACCGACCTCTCGCATCGTGTTGTGTTGCAGTCTACAATGGCAATGACCAGGTGGCGTTGAAAGTGCTGCAGCCAGTGCACGTGAGTCTACTGCGACACCCTTGGAACTGATAAACTGACACCGCATCGCGCCCATCTCGTTCCTTCGCTAGAAGCCCCTATCAGTATAGGACAAGAAAAAGCAAAAGAGCACGACGACGTACGCAATTCGACGACACATTCGCGCAAAAAACAATGAAAACTAGGTGCTGGCGACTCGCGAGGTTCCAACGAGCAGGGGTGGACAACTACTATAGACTGAGATGCAGAGACGTCCGGTATTTAAAGGCCCGAATGGGTCCAGGCATCCGGGATGACGAATGCTTTGAACCCTTTCATAAAATTAATAGATAGAAGTCTGCGCTTCAAATACAGAGATTACGGAAGAGATTAAGGAAGCAAGAAGTCAAGAAGCGGCCCAAACTTGACCTTATCGCCGTTCGCTGAGCCAACTTGAAGTGCCTGACGCGCAACCATCAGAGCATCGCATTTCTGCGCCAACTAGTTGACTCGGAACAGAGATAACAAGATAAGATGCTACACGTGTCATACCACTGGTATAACAACGCAAGAGGGAACGAACAATGGTGTGGACGAAGGCTCAAACTCTGACAATTTATTATTTACTGATTCTGCGGTAATTAATTGGTGCAGACGCGATCACGTGATCGTGTCGGCGTTTCAAATAACGAATTTCTCATCGAGAATCTCTTCGGTAATGTTCCAAAGCTTGTTCGCGGTGACCTTTTGTGCTGTCTTACGCCGAGTTGCGGACCAAAATTGGCAACTCACTGGGTCTGTCGCATATGGTGTGGTCTTGTGCGGCGCTACAACGCAGTCGAACAAGTAGGCGCTAGGTTGATCTAGGCACCAATGTGACCATGGAGCTTCCGCCGCTTTATACCGGACTAATGCTTACCGTTGAGCTTGGGATCGAAAGCTGCAACGAGTGTCCTAACGCAAACATTGGGTACTGTTGGGAGCCGTCTATTGGTTAGGTTGAACTCACGTCGCAGCGCCTTGCTCGATGGTTTTCCAATTGAGAGCGGGATTGTTCTCGTTGAACTTCCCGTCAGCGGTCAAGATATCTGAAGAAGGGTGATCATGGTCAGCAGGGAGACCAGTCAGAACAACGCATGCAACCTACTGAGCTGCTTCATCAGTGGCTGTAAAAAAATCATTTTCGAACCCTTTAGTCTTGACAGCTACCGAGTCGAGTCAGAAATAGACGTTTGACGAAGGAGAGTGCATACTGCCTGGATGCAAACTATACGCATTCAGCCTTCCGCCAGCCCTCCGCGAAAGTTCGATGCCCATCAGGACTTGTGCGGTTTTCACCTCCGCATAGCGCTTGAATATGCCCGGACCCGTTTTGGCCTCATCAGTTCCGTCTCCGAGGCGAAGCTTGTCGACGGTGAGATCAATGCCTTGGCTCTGCATGTGAGCATTACTCCCGACAAAGACAACACGAGGGACGAAATGCTCGGTCGCGGTCGCGAGCAGTTTGGCAGAAATGAGTTTGGTGAGCAGGAATGGTGCGAAATGGGCTGTAGATATCTGGGCCTCGAATCCGTCTTGAGTGACCGAGTATCCTCCTAGCGCGGCTGCGTTGTGGATGAGGACCTTGTTTCTCAGTGTCAAAACAACCAGAAAATTCAAATTCAGGCATAGGGACAAAGGCTTACATGGATTGGCTCTGACCAGCTGTTGACCTCCGCCGCAGCCCGCCGGACGGAATCGAGCGAGGTAAGATCAAGCAATAGCGTCCTCACAGATGCTGACGGAAATTCTGTCTCGATTGTCTCCTTGGATAACTTGAGTCTACCATATCAAGGGGTCAGCAACCACTCGAAGTTGGAAAACTTGAAGATATGACGAGCCTCTCTGCGTTATAGCCAGTAATGACAGTCAAGTTCGCGTTCCCCACGCCAGCGATGACGCGTGCTGCCTCGAATCCGATACCACCGATAGATGTTCCCGTTATCAGCACTATCATTCGGATCAACTGAAATTGGCCATCGCAAAATCCAAGTCCGCACCGTTTTTCCCGGTAATCTCGTTCTTCAGACTGTGTGCGACCTCCGTCGCTGTTGTAGAAGAGCCGAAGGTCGTCATTCTATGTGCCAGGATAGGTGTTCATGATTCACTGGCGGTATTTTATACCTCATATTTTCCGAATTCATCGGCATATCGAGCTTGTATCGTCTGCAGTTCCGATCTCGAACGGGAATTGCCTGCTGAAGACTTGACAGCAGTGGAGCATGCACCAAACTCAAGGAACTCTTGCCATGACGGACTATGAGATAATGTCATGAAAATGATTGTTAACTCGAGCCAACTTGAAACAACAAATCCAAGTATTGGACCCAGTTATACCGCAAGAGATGTAAGACTTGTCGAACTTGAAATTTGCTTCAGCATCAACCCTTCCCGCTCCTTTTCAGCACTGAGAAGAAGACCAGGATGCGCGATGTTGATCGTCCAGATCGCCACAATAACCATCCCACCATCAAACATATCTAGCATCCAATAAGCAAAAAATCAAGAAACCATGAAAAGGCTTACTGAACCAAAATTCCGTCGTAATTACCTCCCCCGTCCAGCCATCTGCGAGTTCAATTGTGCGGTACACGCCACGAATAAGTAACACCGAAGTCGAGACGGTCAAGGCCCAAAGCATTAACCGAACCCGTTGCGTGAGTATTCCTCGCTCAGCAGAAGAAATCATCGGTCGAACAGGACGAGATGCGCGGTAGTTTCGGATGAACTGGACACCTAAGAAGCTATACACGCAAAGTGCGACGAGTTGGAAGATGATGCCGACAAGCATGATATGTCCGCCCAACTCTTGGGTTTTGGTGGAACCTGTTTTCCTGGGGTTGCTCGAAGCAGCAATGCCGCCTCCGGCACCTTGTATTAGCAGAGCAACAAGATCCTATTGGATTTGAGACCAAAACGATTGGACAAGAGAGAACTGGACATACACAGGAGAGGAAGATCCGCGTATAGTTGCGTGGACTAAGGCGAGAGTAGCAAGGACCAAGGCGGCGAATGATATGTCCGAGTACAATGAAGTTGACCGCGATTAGTGGAGTCGGCGAAATGATAGTTGTCGTTATTCTAGAGGGACAATGAGCCACATAGATAGTTCCTCCTCATGAGAACGGGACGTACTGCATCATATATGGATTGGCCTCGCGTGGAGAGATGCTACTCCACAACCTCCCGCTCCATCCGGTGAGCTCGCCCAGGCCACACAAAAAAGCGGTGGGAAAGAGCCACCACATGCGGTACATTATTGCTTGCCCCAGATGAGCAGCTGGAATGGTTGGTACTCGGATGGATATATGAATAGGTGGACTTACCCGTGCTAAGACCAAAAAGGATGAGAAAGATGACTGCAACGCCCCTGGATGGCACGTAGCCATAGGGAGAACTAATAGGATGGTCAGAGTCTAGAATAATAAGTGAGAATCTAGCATGCCCAGGCAACTTCAAGAGTGAACTCACGAATGGTGCTATTGGACATCGAGTCCGAATTTAGGATTTCGTGTTGGGAAGAAAAGAAGAAAAGAGGCGCGAGACAGAAAGGTGATAGAGTCCTGCTGCTAAATAGCAACGCTTTTAAAGCCCCGACGAACTGTTTGGGATGAGATTGAACGTCTGTCGGTTGTGTCATTATCGCTCACGTTGTCCGCCGTTTGGGCTGTGTAGCTACGAGATCTGCGCGGAAAACGACGCAAAGGGCACATATTGCGACACGAGTGATCCCAGCAAGCGGCACAAAACAGTCTGAGGTAACTGGAGCGTCAAGCAACGTGAGTGGTGGTATCCGACTGCTTACATAGCCTCAGTGTCGATACATTGTCACAATTATGAGGAAAAGGACGATCTTCTGCACGACGCCAAATAGAACGCCGTCTGTCGGTGTCTCCTGCTCTTCGGGAAGATAAACCAAGTGTCGAAGCTGAGGTTGGTCGAGGTCAACATGGAAAAGACATCATGTGGCGAGTCTGATCTGCGTCAATTCCCAAATTTCTGCTACAATTCAGTCCAAATCCGGAACCGGTCAGTACAATAAGTATTAAACAATCGTACTACGTTATATTAAGTCGTCCTTGATATATAGGAAGAACTGCAGGTAGCTGCAGTTCACATGTTATAGTAATTTCGCCAATTGTTGACCGCTCGTCGGGCGGCTTCACCGGTCAAAGCCTCGACTTGAATGCCCATGGACCGGATCCTGTGAGCAGCACCTCTCAGTTTGACGAGGTTTCCGTAGACACTAAAGCTCTTGAGATAAGCACATCTGCCCTCGATAACATACGGCGCTCCCTCCATACTGCGGGTTCGCACCATCTCAACGAGTGCAGAACGGAGCTTGACTTCGACGAGCAAGTCGCCAAAGTCGCCCAGCGAAAGCGAAGTAAGGAGAGGACAGAGAATGTCGCTCTCGGGAGGGCTTGCGACCAGAGCCGCGATGAGATCCTTCATGGAGAACATGGCCTCATCGTCCCCGAAACCATCGACCGCGAGTGTGCATAGATTAGGAAAATGTCGGAGAAACGGGACGAGCTGTAACAAGGTTGACCGGATGTAGCGGATGACCTTGAAGCTGGTGAGGTTGAATCCCGAGCGATTGAAGAAGGAAGTCAAGGGATTGAATGACTGGAAATGCCCGATGCACAGTTCAGTCAACGCAGGTGTTTGGAAACAGCCCAATAGCTGCTCATCCATAATGACCAAACGGCGAAGGTGTGGAAATTGGATTACTGCACCCGTGTAATTGTGGTATGCAGGAGGTCGCCTAAAACTGAGGTCAAGTTCAACCAATGAGCCGGCCATATCTTGGAGCCGCTGGTGGGGGACACAATCGTAATGGAAGGCCTTGTAAGTTTTGAACTGATTCAACTGAGGCCGGGGTAGGTCAATTTGTGGTGCAAAATTCGAAGGTCCTGGGCCGGGGTCACCGAGTATTGCCTGTCGAAGTCGAACGGCTCTACGTGCGAACATCCGCCAAGGACTGTCAATGCCGTTCTCGATGAACTGGGCGCCTTGTCCAACTAACACCAACTGTTCAAGGAGTGGCAGGGTCCCGGTACTTACAGCCGTTTTCAAAATAGTTGGCCACGGCCCGATTTTTCGTCACACATCAAAATTTGCACAAAATTTGTGTCCGAGATTGTGGAGGCTCGTTCTCATTCAAAACTATGTATTTCTCTGTAAAATTTAGTATATTCGGAATCTACTCGACGAGCTGGACCCAATGGTGTGGCATACACAAGGATATGGTGAGACACGACTGATCTCTTGCCTTGCCTGATTTTCAGCATGCTTTTTTTCATTGCTCTATAACACAATAGCTTTTGACCTAGAAAAGGCTGATATATTGTTTATGAGTGAGCTTGGAGTTTCTCCCACCAATTGTGAGCAGTAGGCTGGCCTTATCCAGTCTCCAAGAACAGCGCTGCTGTCCCTCCTCTTGAGCTTGATCCATTTCGACACCTTTCTCACCTGTCCATGGCGGCCAACATCCTTGAAGCTCTCAATTCACGCACTAGAATCTCCTGATTTGCTGTTTGGGCTGCCAGTCACCCTGGTTTTGGATAATACAAGTATTTGGTCCCAGCATCGATACTGGTCAAACCTCCTCAATTTCCACATAAAATCCTCATATAGGCCACACCATTGGGTCCAGCTCGTCGAGTAGATTCCGAATATACTAAATTTTACAGAGAAATACATAGTTTTGAATGAGAACGAGCCTCCACAATCTCGGACACAAATTTTGTGCAAATTTTGATGTGTGACGAAAAATCGGGCCGTGGCCAACTATTTTGAAAACGGCTGTAAGCAATTTCCAGCGAGCGCAGCATAGTGTAATTTGTGCGATAAATTTGTTGAATGCATCTGGCGGAAGGCGGCATCCTTCCACGAACCAAACCATTACACTAAGGGGCGCCTCCCGGGTCCACCTTAGCTGGCGTTCCAGGAGCGCAAGGTCGGCAGAATGCATGGATGTCGAGACAACGAAGGAAGACCACAGAAGCGGATAACCAACAGCAAGATCCCGCCACTGACGAGAGACTTGTGTCAGAGACCAAGGACTGTCGGGGATCTTGTCTTTACTTGGATATGACCAGCGACTGTCTGGTGCAATGAGTGGTATCGGTGCAATCTCGGCTTGGGCCATTAGGGGCTGGCGTGTGTGCATGAATATTTCGAGTAAGAGTTCGGGAGGAAGAATGTGGATGCCTTCAGAAGGCGAAAGTGGACTCGAAGACCGATCTTGGAGCATAGCAAATAATGTGGGTTGGCCGCTGAAGGCAAAAACAGTTGACCGTGACGATTTGTCTTCCTAACCATGATGATCTCTCCATCTTCAATTCTGCTGTCTTCAAGTTCTGCAAGGATGGGTATACAAGCACTCACTCGTGGTTCAAATTCAATTGGGAGGAGAAGTGCGTGTTCATGCGAAGCCCTCATTGCCTCCCAAAGTTTTCCTTCGTTGACATGACATTGGAAAGGCCTAAACACCTCTTCTTCTAAACACGTCCAACAACTTGAAGAACAAGCCAAGGAAATGCAACGAGAAACTCTCTCCACTCTGTTGGTCAGATAATGATTGTCATTTCCGCCGAAAACGCTCGCCATTATCTACGTTCCACCAAGAGTGATGCGATTTCGACAACGTGAAGAGAGCAAACTGGCCAGACTTGGACGAGCTCGCAGACGGGTATCAATCGCATACTTTTCCGGTCGCCTCTCTCAACCTCGATCCACTTTCCTACTCAGTAACTCCACGGTCCAGACCGCAAGATCCTTGCAATTGCTACACGGTCAATGGGCGGCCCTACCGGTGAGAGTGCAGTCCAAATTGTTCTTCGACATTTCACATAACTCTAGTGATTTCTTCCAAAGTCTCCGATTAAATCAAGCATCAAGTAGTTAAGATTGCGTAGCATTCGCGGGACTTCAATATATCTAGGATTCAAATCAATAGTGCCGCCAATCGTCGACCGCCTGCCGAGCAGCCCGACCTGTCGAAGTTTCCACTCGAATACCCATAGAACGAATCTTATAGGCTGCAGCTCCTAGTCCAACGCGTTTTCCGTAAACGTCGATTCTCTGCAAAGAAGCACATCTACCGTCCCGAACACACACACCCTCGGGGCTGCGGCTCCTTGCCATCTCGACAAAGGCCGGACGGAGCCCACCCTCGATAAGCAAGCCCTGCAAGTCGCCCAGCGACACCGAAGTGAGCAGGGGGCAGAGAATCCTATCATCGTGCGGTTGTGCGACCAGTGCCGGGATAAGTTCTGTCATTGAAAACAGCGGCTCGTAGTCCTCATCGTCGTCCTCAAATGTTACCTTATAACAATGAAGAGCGAGTGTGCGCAGATTAGGAAGTTGCTTGAGGAGGGAGATCAGGAGTGGAACTGTCGTCATGTATTCGATAAGCTTCAATGTTTCGAGAGTAAACCGTTCAGAGCGACGAAGGAAAGACAGTATGTCCTCAATCGTCTCGAGATATCCAGCATGTGCAATGCAGAGCTCAGCTAAATTGGGGGCTGTGAATGAGTCCAAAAGCCCTTGATCCATGACGACAAGACGGCGGAGGCATGGGAAATGAATTGCTGTGTTTCCATAGATGGATTCTTGGTAAAAGCTGAGGTCAACTTCGACTAATGAGGGAGCCATAGCATGTAGCCAGTTGAATTTTAACTTATGGTTGGCTTTGTACATCGTAAGCTGAGGCCAAGGGAGGGAAACTTGAATTTGTGGGTCACTAATGGTTGGTTCGCCAAGTACGACCCGCGTAAGCCGAGGGGCCTTTTGTGCAAAAGCGTGGTTATTGTCAGTAGTAATACACGATGCTCCTGGTCCGACCAGCATCAGCTGCTCGAGGAGTGGCATGTCTGTCGAGCTGAGGCTGGCGATGAATTGACCAGCTACCTCTTGTGGGCTGTCCTCCCACCCAGACCTAGAGTCCGAGTCGCAGCCAACAACGATCTTGAGAAGTCTCCAACGGGAGGCGGAGAGTGATATTTGTGGGAGAAGCTTCTGTAAATGTTCCCAGTCGCTGCGCCACGTCCTCGAGAACCACAGCATCACGCTGAGAGGCGCATTTTGAGACCACTCCATCTGGCATCGCAGAAGTGGAACGTCGGCAGCATGAATGAGCGGCGAGAGGACCACAGAGGACCACAGAGGCGGATATTCAACAGCAAGCGTCCGCCATTCGTGACACACTCGTATCAATGACCAAGGACTGCCCCGACTCAATCCTTCCCAAAATCCTGCTCGGTAATACCGGTAGCGGCGGCGATAGTTCTTGGGCACGATGACTGGAACAGGTCGAGTGCTGGAGTCCGCAATCAGGGGTTGGCGCGTAAGCATGAATATCTGCAGTAAAACTTCAGGTGGAAGCTTGTAGATGCCTTGAGGAGACGGAGCAGAACTCGAATCGAGGAAATGAGATATGTGCATATTGTGGTTGGAGTTCAACTGTTGTGTGTGCGTGTGTGTGCCATGTGACAGTGACACGACGCTTCCGAGTCTGACTATAGATGAAAGGGCTACTGTGAGTGGTATCTCAGCCTCATTCGCCGAACGATACTGATTACAATACTGTACAGTGTACATTCTATTCCAACCTCAAGATGCAGTAAAAATACATGACGCCCTACGAGCTTCCCTTCTTCATTGTGCCGCTCGACACCTCAAAGCACCATTATCTCCGAGTGAACCCAAATTCCCCAAGTCTCCTCCAACACCTGAGCAAGTTTTTCGTCCTCAGGCCCCTCCGGATAGTCGCTACTCATCGGAGTAATCGTTCCTTCATAACGATTCGCGTATCGCTTCTCGAACTCCTTATTTCCCAAAGGCAAACTGCCCCAACCATGGCTTTCTGGGCGGGTCAGACGGGCCGTCAGCGCCTGGACGAAAGCAGCTTCTTCTGTCTTTTCTCCTAGCTGCCGCATCCTGTTATTGTCGCAAGTCCAGTCGTCATCGTCGTCGCCCAGCTCACGGGTCTCCCACGTAGCCCAATCATCATCGTCACGGTATACCCCGCAGCCTTCGTCATCGGACTCGTCATCCTCGTCGAATCTGGTGCTGCTAAGATTTTCAATTTCCGCGACGCTACAGTCCCCGTTGCGTAGGCGTGGAAATCGCTCGAGAATGGAGGGGATGATGCGGAACGGCTCGTTTTGGTCATCGTTAATTCCAGATGCATATTTGGATGTGGTTGGCCGTTGGCCAAGCTGGTGGCCAATAGGTGGCGGACGAAATACTCGTGGACGGGTTTCAAGTAGTTTTGGTCCAGGAGACAGGGTCCATCGGTCCGTATTTTCGTGACGGACTTGGTTATCGGACCGAGGAGGCGGCGCATAGAGTGGCATCTCTATGTCCGTGGCGACTGGTGCAGCCGGGGCGCAATGAGGCCAGGGAGGAGTGATTCCATTTGGGACCGCGTTTCGTTGGGTCATCCGCAGGACGGGAGGGTGATTCTGCCACGCAGGGGCAAGTTCTTGTGCTTGCTTGTCATGAATGGGCGACGATCCAATCGCCACACTCCTCTGTTTGACCAGCTTGTGTTTTTCACTGGTAGCTGCCGCTTGGGCTTCGAAAACAGAGGGAGGAACGAATTTAAATGGAACTGTCTGCATCGCAGCAAGTCGCGCAATGCGTTGGCTGGGCTGAGCAAGCCGTCCTGAAGAGATCGCGCTGGAGCCTGGGAGGCCAATGGGTGGCAAATGCAAGCCAAGCGGAAAGTTGTTGAGCTCGAGGTCTAACGGTTCCAACCCCGCGTTTGTGGTCGCAGTCTGGAGGGGCACGTTAGAGAATGCACCGGAGTCAACGGAACACGCACCAGCCAGCGATGGGGTGGCCCAGCATATAAACGTTGTCCAAAGCCAGCGTCAATCATGCTGGAACGGTAGTTTTGTCGTCGTTGTGATGACCAGAGCTGTGGGATGTTAGTCGCGTATTCAATATTGTAAGGCCCGGCCCAGGAATGGACGCACTTGGAACTCCAAGTTGTTAATCGCGTTGGGCAGCATCGTGGTCGTGGTTGATCAAGAGAGAGAAGGTCACGAGAGAGTCGTGTGTGGTTGTTTGTGTTTATATCATGCTGCCACAGCGGACAATGGGATATCAATATGATCAACCCAAGATCAATCTAACAAGGCGCGGTCACGGGATTCGTCGCGCTTTGAATTAGCAAACACATCTAAGAACATTAATTAATTAATATTATAACGCCTATGTTTCCAAATGACACAGTACTGCAATAGTCCACGTCAACTATAGACCATAGTCCCATTAAATGTAATCGTCTCTATCCTCGGAGCATGCTCCGCGATAGCGAGACCCAATGTCACCCAGTCCAAAGGTGATGCCAAGAACCAAAAATTCACCTTTTTGTACATGTTCATCCGTCGCAGCGAAGGCAGTCGCGCGACGACGGCCAACACAACACGCGTCCGGAGCTGATTGTCGGCATTACTGTTGACCCCGCGTTCCGTCAGGTCGAGAGACTCGATCGGAGGAAAGTCACGATCCCGGTCAGTGGAAAAGCCGCCGATGCGGTCCCACCACGCAAACGTCTCTTGTAGTGTCGAGTAAGCGACATCAAGGACGATGTTCAGCTGCTTGTGAGGCTGATCGATTGGGGGAGTCCGATGGGTAACCGCGCTTAAGATTCCTGCGGCGCTCCAGCCTTCCGGAAACGGATGCCATTCGCTGAGGACAAGCACAAGCGTCTCCAAGACCGGCAGCGGCGCGTTAGCCGGGGGCTGCCGGGGCGAGTGTCCAAGTAGATGGAGAACCACTGATGGTGGAGCGCTAAGATGCTTCAGGTGAGCGAGTTCTGGCGCTGGGAGCCCAGTTGCATCGTCAATAGCGGGCCATGCTCGAGGAAGGACAAGTTTTTCCAACAAGGGAAGGACATTGAGCAGGTTAAGTAACGTCGCGGGGAAGTAATCGCCGCCATGGGTGATCGTGAGTTCTGATAAATTCGGCAGGAGGGCGCCAACAAGTGTAAGCAGCTCTGACTCCGAGTCCCGTGGGGCGGAAATAGTGAGTGCGCTTATATTTGACCGGCGGAGAGCAGAGAACATCCAACGCAAGCCAAACCGCGAAAGTCGGCTGGTATGTGAGAAAGAAAACGAAGAAAGGCTGTTCGTCTCGTTCGAAAGGTGCATCTCTTGAGTTTCTGATGACCATATCGGTTCGGCACCGCCTGGACGGGCTAGTGGCGCGCCACGAATTGACAGGTCAACACAACCCTTGGAAAGAATAGTGTCGATAAGGTGGCCGATCTGCTGGCGATACAAATCCCGCATTTTGTCATTCACTGCTGCGGCCTCAAGGTGCTCCAGGTCGACGAGGGTAAGTGCAACAGCAGAAACACTGGGAAACCGCGCAATGAAAGATCTAAGTCGCTCGATGTCGTGCAAGTACCAAGCCATCGACTGGCTGAGCTTGAAATTGCACGTGATGTCGCGGATGGATGTGATAAATAACGCTGAGTTTAGGGCTGAGAGCATATCGGCGCCATTTCTGGGATTCCGCAGGTGGAATGACATACCAAGGCTGGGTTGGCTTATCCCGTGCCTTGCGAAATACTCAGGCAAAGCCAGAAAGTGTAGCCGTTTCGACAAGCGGGACAACGAATATAATTCGGAGTTGAGATATGGGAAAATGAGGAGCAGAAGCTCGTCGGGAAAATCCAAAAGGTGGGGTTGCTGTTTGCTCTGGTTCACGTCTCTCTTCCACAATGCCTGCCCAAAGTAGATGTTTTCCACGTGAGACCCATGCAGAATCTCTGTCGCGAGGCGGCTTTTAAATCCGAACGGCAGATTGTCGTGATCCACAAAGACCACTCTCGTCAGCCTAGAGAAGAGCGCCAGCCATTTAGCCAATGCGGTCGCACCTTGCGATGTGATATCCATTTGCCGAATGCGGCATTCTCTGAACCTTGCAACTGCGCTATCCCAAAGAGGTCGGTCCATAACCGCAAGGTCAAGTGATTTGCACATCATCTGAGCGGCTTGCCAATGCGGTTTTGATGGTGAATTTACGGAAATCGAGGGATGAACATCTGGGTGTGATTTGAGGGCAGCCATCAAGCTAGAGAGGGGCAAGATTGAATATGCATCACATAGTTCATGGAGATGAACACAGACATCGACCTCCAATAATGCAGGCAGAAGCACCCGCCCGAGCAGCGCCGCTAGATGCTCCAGACGCGCCGAGATAGCCGTCAAGTGGCTTAGCTTGCGCGAGGCGGAAGGTAAAAGTTGGGAAAGTTTTGGCCAGTTGCTTGGACTGGGAGGAGCTAAGCTTCTCTCCCTTTCGTGCGTGAGTTTCACGTGCGCCATTGATAGCTCTAAGAACCCGAGGTCCGTTTTCAGCGTCCGGAGCATCCGAAAACGTGAGATAACGGCCGTAAACTGGGTCTTAGTGACGTTGACGCCAATGAGAGTGAGTTCAGGAAGTTGTGGGAGTATGTTGGCAATCTCCTGGAGGAGGAACGACCAATCCGACGGAGATAGGGTCATTTCAATGTGCAAGGAAGAAATCGCGCGCGAGGAGAGAAACGCTAACGTGGATTTGAAGTATGCGGGTAAGACGACAATCGCCGAGTTCATGCGATAGTCCAAGGGCTGCGTAATCGGGTTGTTTCTGGTGAATAGCGATTTGGCCGCATGCGGGATCGCGGGACCAAGTCTGGCTGGGCCCAATGAAACAGGTACATTAATCGGAGTGTTAATCTCGAGAGACTGGAGATGGGGCAGTCTTGCAATCACAGAGAGTAGCTCGTTGAAGGCAGCCGAGAAGGCTTCGTCTCCAAAGTGTTGCACGTTGCCAGTGTGGTCGGATGAGCACGACTGCCACGACTGAATGTCCAAAGTCAGGGAAAGGACGCGAATGCTGGGAGTTTTTTCGAGGACATGTGTAAGCCTCCGGGTGTTCGTCCCTAGGCTGGCCATTTCTTCGGCGGTCGTCAAAGAAAACTGGACCGTAAGAGAGGACAACCAGCTCGTATCTATCGAGGATTGAAGCGCCGCCAGGACACCAAAGTGTCCATGTACTCCACGGTCGTCGTCGTGAATGGTGCAGTTTCCGGCCGAGTCAACCGCCCCGCTCTCCGTGAGTATGCTTGAGATAAGCCTGCCATTCAGACCACGCGAAACCCTGAGCAAAGAACGCAGGTCGTCAACCGACAGCTGAGGGATCAAGCATGAACAGACGGTGAGAGGAAGTTTTTCGAGGACTTCTTCTGTTGCACTACTCAGAGCCTGAGGTATCGCAAGACGCGCAACAGGCATACGCACGAAGACCCATAGTTGGGGGTTGTGTGGAACATATGGCAACAGCCTCTGGACTGTCCGGATTTTTGATGTCCGAGGCTTGATAGCTGATCGGCCATCAATTTGGACCCCAGAAACTAGATCAAATGAGCGCACTTGCCTTTCTGTCTCTCAGTAGACCTCTCTATATACAAACCTGTAAAGCTTTTAGACTGAGAGATTATATATGTCTTGTGGGTGTTGCAGAGTGTGGAAAGGGCAGAGTAATATGAGCAAGAGCATTGAATTCATCGAGACTGTCTCTCAAACCCTTGCCCTGGTCACGTGACCTTGCCAGCGATGCATAATTTCACTGTCTACTGCACAGGGAGTGGAAGGGAGAGGGTATGGACATATGAGGAGGGTATAAATGAGAGGATAGGAGAGATGTCCAGTGAGGATGATGATAGAGCAGGAGAGGGTGAGTGTAGGGAAGAGATTTGGAGCAGAGTGTGTCGCTACAAACAGAAAGAGCCCATTGGATAACTATGGTAGGAGAAACACCATGCGACCACACACTGGAGGTGGGTCCTCATAGTCTTCTTGGTGTAGCGACCACATACAAAGATGGGTCCTCCACATCAAGGATATGTATAAAAGGCCAGAAAATTATAGAAAAAGGGTACTAAGCGACCACACACAACGGTGGGTCCTCATAGTCTTCTTGGGACAGTGACCACATGCAAAAATGGGTCCTCTGCACCAAGGATATGTAGAAAGGAAGGGAGAAAGGGTAGAAAGTGTTGGAGTGCCTTGTTGATGTGACCGCTCTCACAAGACTTGTCATTAACCATGGATGCAACCACATCCAGCTCTGCTCCCTCTGATGCTCAGAAGGTTTTTGCTTGTAATGGGGCATAGCTTCCACTAATCACAGCTTATCTAGAGGAGAAATAAAGACAATCGTCAAGCATTCAAGCAACGGCAGCGAGAAAAACCAACGACAGCAGCTTGAAGCAGAGCGAGCCGCTAAAGAGCTACACGAGAAGGAAGAGAAGTTGAAACAGGAACGAGATGCGATAATAGCTGCAGCTTTGAAGGAGGCAATGGCTGAGGTAGAGAAGATTCGTGAGCAAGCAAATCAGCGCTCGAAAGAGGATCATATCCAGCTGCTCAAACAGGTCTGTGTGTTCAATTTCTCACTGGAGTATCTGAATTCTTTGCCTAATAGGCAATCTCACTTCTTACTGGATTGCCTATGGACGAAATTCATCTTCATTTCCTTTCTGCTGATGAAGAGTTCTTTGCAAAACTAGAGAAGCGTCAGCAGGAGAAAGGAGCACCCTTAGAGCGATGTGATATTGACGAACATGGCCCCGGCTTCGTCTGGATTACAGAGACTGGGCTCCATCTTGGATTCAATATTGACAATCCGACTGAACTTATACTCGCTGTTCGTATAACGTGCGCTCTTCTTTTCTATTTGGTCTCTCAAGCTTACTCTATTGGCTTCTAGTCCATGGACAGATTTTCCTGTCGAAACTCGCCGTCATATTCAAGAGCCTCTCGAAACTCTCATGCGTCTTCCTGAGATTCAATACAAGATTCTCAATAATGCGGTAACTTCTCTTTTGATCTATATACTGATCTTATCGTTTTGAGTATAGATATTGGTATTGCGCTGAGGACCCAATTGCGGAACACGGAAAGAGGTCGAAATTGAATTGCTCTGTGTTGTTTTCTGGGTGCTTATGCTGCTAGTCTTAGCAGTATAGGTTTTTGCCACTATGTGTGAGGTCAACACAAGAAACACTACTTGGAAACTATCACATACCTTGCGAGTCACGTAACATCTGGCTTTTTTGCTTATAATAGACGTAACAGGATGGGCACAACATAGGACCATTTGCTTTGAGTTGTCGGATTGGTGTATCTGGAGGATAGTTCCCATGACCAGGACCTTTGCACTGAGAGCCACGGTCGCATCTGACAGAATCTGTCATTGAGAAGCTGGACTATAATCAGCTTCTTTAGCTTGGAATCCAGCGTGTAACACTACCACTGAGTCTAAATATCATGTAAGATGAAAGGAATGAACTTCATGAGCACTCAACCACGTACTTGAACGAAGATAATGCAAGCTGGGCCTTAAAACCTCTTCTCTGTTGTTGTGAGCACAGAACTCAGAATGTCACAATTTGGTCACACCTTTGATTTCAAGGTGACTGGTGCTAAACTTTAGACTACCTCGTTACATATCGTCTTCGTCATCAGTAAATAACTGAGTTAGCAGGTTTTCCGTTTCCTCCTCACTGTTTCCTTCCCCATCACTAAACAAAAGATCATCCGACATTCCATCATCGAGCTCGTCGTTAATTTCACCCTCCAACTCAATATTTTGCTCGAAGACCTGTTGCCCTGACTCAAAGGCTGTTCGAAACTGCTGGTGTACAGGTTGCCCAACTCGGTTAAACTGAGTTTTCAGTGCATTGAATGTTGGCCAGAATGTAGTAGTCGAAACAATAGGTGAGCCCAGTGCCTCATAAAATGGGCGAACAAAGTCTTCGAATGGAGGGCAGGTTAACTGGAAGACAGGATGAGTGGGAGGGGACCAGATTTGTTCCATCTCATCAAACAGTTCCCCAGGAACATGAACCTATTTGCATCATAGGTCAATAACTCGAAATCAAGAAGTAGTCATACCATATAGTTCCTTGCATTGAATCGTTCAGGGTTTCGATGAATCTGACTCGGAATTCCCTGTGGTAAAATTTTGTGTCGGTTTGAGCGACGAGGACTGTTATTGAATCGGTCAACCCAAGCATTGAGCTCTGCCTGCAGCCAAGGAATAGCAAGCCATCGAAAGAGATATCTATAATAAGCAGATATTAGACGTATTCAAAATGTAGACAATCATACGTTTCAACTGGAGTCGGTGTCTTGAAATCGATATATCCCAACGCTTCACCTTGGTTCATAAGTGACTCGAATCCTGGAGCAAAATTTTGTCGTATTATAGACCAGCCAATCTCAGATTTGATGTTCATTTTGTCAAAAAACCACTTGTGCTGAACCGTTCCTTCAAGTGACGGATCAAGACGCTGGCGAATTGTTGAGTGCACATTGGCAATGCCATTATTCTCCCGTCCTGGATCACTAAAAGTGAGGAGTGGAACACCTAAAGAGAAGATAAGTTTCGATAACATCAAGAATTAACAGTACCTCTATCCTTTCGCATAGCCTCAAGATAATAGCTTGTAATTAGGACTGGGTTGCGATTTGTCCACCATATCTTGACCCAAAGAAACTCGCCAGTGAAGGGATCAAGACCCAGATGAAGAAATAGACCATAGTACCGCCACTTATCATGTTGGTCGAAGCTAACAATCTCGCGAGGTCCAGCACTATAAAACCGTCCACGGACAAATTTAGCACGATGTTTGCGTGATTTGACTGCAGCTGGCTCAAATTCATGCAGATATGCCAGAATGGTACGCCTTCAAGTCTGGTTAGACCTGTAATTATCCACAATCAGAATACGTACTCAGCAACCTTGACTTTATGTTCACGACGGAGTGTGACGACAAGTGTGCGAGCACCCATATGAGGGTAAGATACACGAATGCTTCGGACAAGTGCTTTAAACTCATCCCCCAGCCCAGCTGCCTCTCGTTGCGGACGTTCAGTAGTTGTAGTTTATTGCGTGCGCGAGAGACACTTTTGTAGCTGTTGAAGACTTAGTCTCAGGTGTTCTCCAAGTTCACATCTCTTACTCACCTCACACTATACTTTTCACAATCAAGCTGAAGTTCCTTGACCATATCCAGCTCAATCTCCTTTGCAATCTGAACGTCATTCCAGTTGAATAGCCAGTAGTACTCGACTTTCTTATGGAACCAGTCTTCTGGGGCTAAACAGGCTAAGAACAATATATTGAGGGTGGTCCACATACGTAGCTTGGTTTTGGGCATCTTCGTACACAAGTGTTACAGGCTAAGATGTAGGTAGCTGGGGTCCCTGATCACACCGCATCAATGTTCCGACGTCAAAATTTTGATAGTCCAGAGGCTGTTGCCATAGGAACAAGTGTTTGGTGACAGGAGATGATGTCAGCTGTTGACCAGTTGTAGCCTGTCGACCAACTGTAGCCAGCTGTCCACCATTTTTTTCACCTCAGCAACTCAACCAGTAGTAGTATGAGCCACTACTTATGCAGTAATGCAAAGGAGCAAATGATTCAAAGTTTGTTAATGTGCACTTATGAGTGATATCCTGCCATGCAATACTTCAATGTCCTCGAGTAAGCAGAATCTGCATTTTAGCAACCTACTACTCGAGGCCGCCAAACTTCAATAGCTCTCGTATTTGCGCCACCGTCTTACTGCATTCCTCCCGGCCTTCCCCCTTAAATTCTCTGTCCTTAAAACACCCAATTTCGCCATGCGAAACGCAGCGCTCCCCAGTCGAACACGTTTGCCATAAACGTTGACCTCCCTCAATGCAGCACACGTCCCCCGTTCGGCAGCCTCTGCGCGGGAGCGGACGATGTCCACCAGCCACTCGCGGAGGTCCGTTGAATCAGTCTTGTAGCAGATGAGCGCGTCGGTCCGATCTCCGAGAGCAAAGCAGACAAGTGAGGGGCAGAGGATCGCCACGGCCTCAGGCTGGCGGGTTGAGTCGACGATGAGCGCGCGGACCAGCATCGACAGCAAACGCCCGCTTTTATCCGAGTTGTAGTCGATCGCAAAATACCTGAGTGCCGGGGTATGTTCTAGGAAGCTCGGGATATCGGCTGCTTTGGAATTGGAGCCTGCAAGTATCAGGCCTGTGAGGGTACAGCGGGAACGATGCAAGAAGGGAACGACATAGTTGTATTCGGCATAGGGCAGGAATAGTTCGACCAGCACTGGCGCGGTGAGAGTATCGAGGAACTTGTTGTTGGTGACGACCAATCGGCGAAGTTTAGGTAGAACAACTGCAGTTGAAGCTTTGACCCGGTTCAAGCCATCATTACTTGTGCCAAAGTCGATATCTGCGTCAACGAGCGATGCGGCAGCCTGAGTGAGGAACGCCAAGTGTGTTGCGCCCCGCACGTAACAAGCTTTATAGGTGGTGATTTGGTGCCAGGGCAGCATAGGGACCCGGGAAATGGCCGTTGACGACATATCACCCAGCACAACGCACGTCAAACGCGGTGCATTCTCAACCAGGAAGCTCTTCTCCGAGAGCCCACCTCCGCTAAACACAATCTCCTCAAGCAACGGCATGTCCTGGATCGCATCATCCAAAACGGTTCCCTTCAACACGTCCAGCCTGACCGCCAGCCGCTTCCACCGCGAACGCTCTCCGATGAGCCGCGCCATGAACTTTTCAAACTGCGGCCGTTCCGAGTCCGAGTAATGTGTGCTGGGCGTGTACCAGACGAAGATGCTCAGCGGAGCAACGCCAGAACGCGTCAATTGGAGCCGGAGGAGCGGGATGTCGCGGTCCATCACAGAAGTGGTAATGACAAATGAAGACCACAGCGGTGGGTAGTTCAAAGCCAGCGACCGCCAGCTGCGACAGACTTGCGCCAGCGACCACGGACAATCGAGATCCCACTGATCGCGCCGGGACCAAGACCGCCATCCAATAACGGGTATTGGTGTTGTGTATATATTGCGCAGGGGAACAGTATGCATGAAGATGTCCAGCAGAATCTCAGGCGGGAGCGAAGAGAGGGATGTTGCTGCCATAGTGGCGGGAGTCAAAGAGTCCGAGTCCACGTGATCAAACGCTTGCTACATAGTTACTACTAAGTTAGCAGTCATTGGGACTCAAATCGCCATTGGATTCATTCACCATTTTTTTTACATGTAGCTGAACTCTTACTTCTACACACTTGTTGTTATTATTCTCTTCGTCCTCCAATAAATACGTCGCCAAATAATTTACTAGTCAGTGCCAATAACCCCAAAGGAGAAAAGAAGGAAACTACAGCTCCGAAGCCGGCAACGCGTTGTAGATGGGGCACAAGTCGTTCCACGCCTTCGGGATGGACTCTTTGCGGATGGTGGGAGCATCCTCAACCAAAACCACAGCAAGTCCACTGTGAAGTACGCGTTAGTGAGCCGTTTTCCGCCGAGCAAGGAGACCTACGCGTTCAAATGGAAATCGACATGGCAGTGCAAAATCCCTAAACACACGAATCAGTGCTGCCACATTTAGCAAAAGGAGAACAAACATGGTCCGTCGTTGTCCGTGGCAAATCGGATCGTGACATTATCCTTCGCGGCCCCGGTTCCGATGTTGACAACGTCTCGGACTGGCGGGTTGATAAAGTTGTAGTTAGTGGTACCCGCACTACGGATAACATGGAAGTTGTGCTGGAAGATTGAGCAGGGTGAACAAGGAGGCGCAACAGGTCAACGACTTACCCCGTGGAGATGGAATGGATGTTGAGAAGCCGCTGGGTCAGAGGCTCCTGGAATGGAGATTTCGATGACCTTGTTCTTGGGCAATGTGTAGAAGCTGCCTTTGGGCAACAGTTGTTGAGCGGTTTGAGCTCCAGAGAGGATCTGCAACAAAACCGGGACGCTCGGCGGAGTGAATGTCTATTATTATTGAGAAAGCGGCGATGCACAACAGTGAATCTGGCTTACAGCGCCGCCGATCGTGTAAAGTTGCGCAACCACATCGACATCAATGGCAAGGTTCAACGAGACGTCTGCAGCGCCGAGTTTACGCACGCCAGGCACAGGCGTGGGGATGAATGGAGCGAGATCCGCTTCCTTGAGTGGCTTATTTGAAGGGAGGAGAAGATTTGGGTTGGCAGGGTCCTTAACGGGGGGCGCCAGCATCTAACGCAAAAAAGACTATTAGCCAATGGATCAGCAAAGAAAACAAAAACACCAACAACGAAGGATAGCACTATTTGTGCCATTGACGACGCCGGTATTACCATAGTTGGGGATAGCGCGAATCCAGTAGTTATCGATCTTCTGGTCGGCATTGAGGACAAATGAGTACCGCTGTCCAACGTGGATGTGGATGGAATCGACAACGCGGGCTTGGGTAAGAACACCGTCCGCTTCGATGACGGTCATACTATGACCCTGGATGCCGAACACAAAATCGGGGTCGCAGGCGATATTGAGTAGCCGGAACCTGTACCGAAGCCCCTTCTTTACGCTGATGACTGCCAAGGGAGAAAGAGGTCCCCCAGCGAAGCGACCAAGACCGTTAACGAGAGTGGTGTCGAAGATGGGTGGGAAGGGTAAGTTGCGCGATGTGAAATGGAGCCAATCGCCCAGGGTGACAACGGTGCTCTCTACCCCATGATCAGAAAACGATTAGCATATCCCACAACAAGCTCACCATCGTCAACATCGTATAGACCTTGGTAAGGATCCCGAGGATCGTAGACTAAACTCAGTTCAGCATCGAGCAGGATAATAAACAACAAGACATACTAATAAGTGGTCCGCGAAGACCATCGCAGTACTAGGTAACAGGTTAGTTTCACTCGATTTAAGAACCAGGGTCTGACCTGAAGTTCTGCGAATGAGCGAGTATGTGAGCAGAAGAAGGTTTGGGGGGGCGTACTTACGCAAATGAGAATGATACCAAAAGGTTCCTGCCTGACCCTTGGGGGTGAAATCGTATGAAAAGGAATGGCTGGGTGAGATGGGGCACTCTGGACAAGAAACATCAGATCATGGTGATGAAGCAAGCGGGTCATACGAGTAACGAATGCTGCGCCGTCCGCCCAGCTCGTCTGGTCCTGTGTACACTTTGAGCCTCGAAGATCGGAAGCCGAAAGGATATCCTTTACCATGAACAGTCCGTGAAAGTGCTAGAATCTTTCAATGAAGATGAATCCAAAAGCAATAAGCACGCACAACACTGGTTGCCCGAGGTATGTTCTTGTCGGTGAGCTTGTTCACGACGTTTATTTGGAAGTTGTCTCCCTAAAATTTTTCAGCGGACGCTTAACAGCAACTTGAAGCTCTAGGACCTTGTTCGCCGAAATAATGGGAGAAGGGAATTTGCCGTTGACGGTGACAGCGCTGTGGAAATGGGTGAGTAGCGGATAGCGCGAAGAACAACAACCACGAACACCCTAGAAAATCCATCCGGACTAACGACCTTGTTTTCAAGAACGAGGGAGCTCCGGCTTTGAGAAGGAACGATGAATGCTGCTCGCGTACTCGATACCGCCAGAAGAACCGCCGAGAAAAGTGGGAAAAACGGCATGATAGAAAGAGAAACCAAGGGACGACAAAAGATGCCGGTGCTCAAAACTGGGTTGGGGAGAAGAGCAGCAGAAACTGGTTCTCTGCACCATCTGCAGGGTTTTATTTTGTGTCCGACGCCGAGACGGTTACTTGACGTGCGAAATTGGTGCGAAACATGATGAAGACGTGGGCCACGCCGTTCGCTCAATCACTTTGATCGAGGCGTTTTCGCGGCCGTCCGAGTCTCGGATTCTAGTGAGATTCTGGGCATCTCGTCATTCAGTGGTTTGAAGCAACAAAGTGGTTTTGCTGTACCTCTCGTCAGTCATACCATATGCCTCCCCGAGCGACTCAATGTGCTTCCCCCACCCCCGTCCACTGGACCAGTTGCAAACCTAATGAAAACCCACTAGCATCACGACACACAGCTGACAACCATCGCCGGCGGGGTCGTTGTATGTCTTCGAAAGATCAAGAAAGATGGTGAATGTGGTTGCAATTGATCTGCAATCGATCCATCTCCCTTTCCAAGTGGGTCATGAGGGAGTATCTTGCCACTGCCAGCGTTCCGCTGTAGGGGGGAGGCATATTGACATTGCTCCCATAGGTGGGCAACTTGACAGGGTAGCGAAGGGTAGCAACCAGACTTTCTTCCTGCTTGGTACTGTCTGCCGACTTAGAACAGGAGTCAGAAGACTCAAGAGCACGAGAGGATGGGGAAGTACTTCGAGGTGGAACAGATTCGACAGATTCAAGATTGTGGTTCTTGGCTGACGCGGACAACAGTCACAGTCACGGGCCGACGTCCTCTTCCATTTGGGTTCTTCCAAAATTTGTGCAGCTTCAAACCAGACATATTGAATGTATATTGAATCTGGCTACCTCTCATTAGAGCATTAATCAATACCTACGATGCCTCCGAGTCGGTTCTGAACTCTGCTGAGTCTGCTTAACCTTAACCAGTCTACACTACGAGAGCCTCAGGCTGCAGGGCGCCGCCGCATCTTCGGGTTTATCCGCAGATTTGCCGCTGCACTTCAAGTTCTTGAAACTCCGGGTGCCTTTACACTTTCGAAAGTTTCATCTGAATCAAGGCCATGCTTAGAAAATCCTTGGAAAATCCGTCCCGCCTTCGGCGCCGCTACTTCTCGTCGCAGCCCGTCAAAAGAAATCCTATTGATCCCAACAAGCCAGCCGTATGGTGCCTGTTTCGGTTCGCGCGATTGCGACTCGGAGTACTCGGATAGGCTTCATTACTTATTCGATATTTTCAAGTTCTTGTGGACTTGATTCCACCTCGCAGATCTGTGCAAGAGGCAGCACAAAATACCTCTCGTCGACTGATCACCTCTCCCGCGGGAAAGGGAGGCAAAGCTTCTCCGGGAGATCTGCATGAGATGGAGATGTCATTGATCTTTTGCGATTACGGAGTTGACAAGCCGTTCATGAGCCAAGGTGTTTGACCATGATCGCCCTGACAAGCAAGATGCGCGTAACCGCGTTCCAAAGAGCTAGGCTCGACTTCAGTCGTGCAACAAAAGTATATATTCACCCAGTATTAGAGGCAGTAGTAGTATAATCACGTGATCGCGTCAAGACTCAAGTGCCTCCATAATCATCTCTTTCGCCTGAGCGATCCGGGGCTCTATGACACAGGAGAATGCTACAGGATGACTAAATGTTCATGAGCACTATGATCGACCGTCTGAGTGAGTGAACGAACCTTAGCAACCCATAATGCATCTTGTTCTCAGGGACGATTTCCCTCCCCCGCCAAGTCTCGGGCTCGTTTGATACGACATGTCGACAAGACGGTCACGACTGCTATCCAAACGCTGCTGTCGGCGAGATGCTGGCCCGTGCAGATACTAGCACAAAGCTGAGGACCAGTTAGACAGTTGAAGGAAATAACCCACCGTCGTCCAAATCCGTATTTTCCGGTAAAGAAAGGCTCCCCACGTCCTTCGGGGGCAGGCAAGTATCGGGTAGGATCGAATAAAGTTGGGGTTCGATAGATTCTCTCGTCGTGGGACATGGCCCTGATGAATACAATCGTCAACTACTAGTAGAAAGTTCGCCAATAAAAAATACCTTATGTTAGGAAGAATCGTAGTTCCTTTCGGTATAAACATTCCACGATAAATGTCGTCGCTGATAGATCGATGAGGTATGCCTGACCAGTCAAATCCTGAAACTAATCCATTGAAGAACATACCGAGAGGAGCCCCCGTATTCCATCTGAGAACGGGGTCAGACGATGAATCATCTGCTGCCAGAACAAGCCGAACTGACCGGAAAACTTCGTTGTACAAACACTCGACATACGGCAGCGATTCACGATCCTGGAATTCAGGGAGACGATTCCCAATAACAGCATCGATTTCTGTCTGAGCTCGAGCCTGACATTGGGGATATAAGGTCATGGCCAAGAGGAAAACCGACAGCGCGCTCCAAGTCTGATGAACGGTGGTCAAACATGAAGCACCACTGAGCTCAACTTACTGTTGCTTCACCAGCGGCAAACATGCTCGCAGCATTTGCTTCTAGCTCGCCAACCAAGTCCACCCCCTCCTCCGTCTTTGGCGTAGATTCAATAAACTCTAGTTGCTCAAGTAGGAATGACGGCATAGCGCTTCCGTCCTTCTAATGATTGGGTGAATAAAAATAGCAGGGACCACTCCACGGTTGCTCACCCTTTGTTGTTTGACGGTCTCGAGCGGGAAGGTATATAGTTCGCGTGCAACTGGCCTCCACTGTCGGGCAAAACCGGCGTAGTGTGCGCCAGGGAACCACCCCGGGAAATGCTTCACTGTAAGGGTTTCGTGAGATCAAGCTCATTCCTAGTTTAAGAGTTTTTACTCACGGAAGGGAAGGAAATCCAATGGGGTGACTGCAGGTACTTGTTCCATCAATGTCGACACATGGAGAACCATCTTCGACATTCTCAGATAATTATCCTCTGCAGAGACGATGCGATGCCCAGAAACAACTTGAGCGATGACACCCGTCGAAAAACTGGACAGGAATGAATGGAGGGTTTGGCGGAAGGTACTACTGAGCTACTTACCGGTTGAGCATAAGCTCATGCTCCCCTTCTTTACACTCCAACAAGTTCTTGCCCAGCGTTCGTGCCTCCACTGTCAACATGGGTCGAAGATCGGAGGTCTTCGTCTTATTCAAATAGGAGTGGTGGGCTTGGCGCAGACGCATTAGTTGTTTCCCGTATGGTACAGCAGAGAGAGCGTTCTTGAAACCGAATCTAGTAAAACTCGTCAGTGGCGATAGGGCAGAAGGTGCTAACGACACACAGTTCATAGAGGGTGAAAACGGGCCGGTCGCTGTGAATGGCGCTATGCTTGTCTAAAAGTTCTTCTGCGGCTTGCAGCGAATTCAACACGACGATGGTGCTTCCAAGAACGCGAAGACATATGACATCCCCTTAGAATAGTGTAAGAGAGGTCCGTCGTTTGGACAAGTAGACCAACGCACCGAATTTTTTCCCCATTTCCTCAAAAACGATCGCCGCATCGTGGCCCGGCAATTGACGGAGGTTTCCTATAATCGGATCACCGAGTGGACCGGGAGGGTAAGGGGTGCATGACGAGCGCCGGCGAATGAGGAATATGGCGACGACGAGCCCAGCAACGAGAATTGCAGCCACCACTAGAAGAGAGAGTGGCATGGAGGGAGATTCCAAAGGAAGGTATTTGGAAATAAGCCGCCCACCACGGCTCAATCGCATGGATGAATAATAAGTAGGCCATTGGGCCAATGTAATCATGGCATCCGGTCTTCCTTCTCAGATGATGAAGATATATCACCTGCGCATAACAAGCACAGTCCACGCTAGCTCAATCTCTGCCTCGATAGACAAAAAATAGCATCGTGGCATCGCCTCCCGGGAGCTCATTGAAGTCGTTGACGGGTCTAAGACTAGCTGCAAGCTGGGCCAGGAACGGTCCTAGCCTCACATACGCCGGATTGGGTCTCTACCGCAGCCTTATTGCAGCCTTAGGTACCGAAGCAATTTGCATGATAGAAGGATTCGAGTTGGGTGAAGAAGAGGAAAAAAAGAAGATCATCAGGTTGTGACGTCACGCGCGTGATCCGAGTTCGGGTCGTTCCACAAGTTTTTACCGATCGACCGATGTGATGAACGCTGCTATTGGACCATCTAAAACCTAAGTACTCCGAGCGTGAGCCGAGTGAATCCGAGTGCTATGCGCCTACTGATATGGAACGCGTCGAAGCGCTTGGGTCAAGCTTGGGTTTGCCAGTGCATTTCGATTCAGGTCCGAATCGGGAAAGCATTACACATTGCAGAAACGCCTCCAGGTACTTACGTACGGGCCTAAACATATACGCGTAGAATGACACAGAATTGAACTGGCAAGTAACATTCGAATACCTCATTATACAGCTAGTTTTACACTAAACAATCGACAAGACCTGGCTAACACTAGGCTTGGCACCTGCAGTGGCAATTCTGATCAGAGCCAGAGCAAACGATGCTAGAATGAGTAAACTCACAAGTCAATATATTCCTGGTGGCCATCTTTCAACTCAAAGTCAGTCTTCAAGTTGATATCCCAGCTGTGTCGTGAACTGGAGTAAGGGTCTGCATCTCGGTCCCACAAGCGTAGGTTCATAGTGAACGAAGAATCCGAGTCATCGCTGAAGCTACTCGCCGTATCCGACCGAAGAGAGAATTCATCATGATTGTCTGGAGGCGGAAAGTACGGGAGGTAGTGCAGCGCTGGCTCAGGCACCTGGTGCTGAAACGGAGGAAGATGGTAGGAGCCTCGCGGTCCATATTTCTCCTGATAGACTGAGTAGTCGAATTGTGGTTGGTGAATGCCAGGGTTTTGAAGGAGGAGCAAGGGAGGGGTCTGTCGAGGGGAACTATGTGCCGAGTTTGCGGCGTCTAAGTCGCGTTGGTCGTTGATGGTGGTGTAGCGACACTTGAGCCCGCGTTCCTCGCATCTCTCGCAAGGATTTTCGGGGAAATCTTCAGTACTGAAGCACTAAAGTGAATAGCATCAGCGACATACGCCTCAATGTATAATAGTACTCAACTCACCCGAGTCTTTCGTTTGCGGCAATTAGTGCATGCAATGATTGATCGGCGGCGAGTGGTGAAAACGGAGGGTAGGTCAAAGGTCGAGCGATCTGGAGAGCGGTGGGGACCCATTTTGAGTGTGAAAGTTGCGGATGAGGTGAAGGAGGGGCGAGGAAGGAGGTCTTTATATGTGTGCATACCTTGGATGACATCGAAGTTCTCGTGAGATATGCAGGCGACAAGTTTAGAACTTCTGCAACCGTGATGATTGAGCACTGGAGAGGTTGTCCGTAACAGCTCAGCATCACTTGCCTTGGTTACTTCGAGCGCTCGTTTGGACATGATTCCACGCCATTTCCGGAGCGACTTGTCCTGTATACGACCCTCTAGACGAAAAAGCATTTGGAAAGCATGTCTCAGTAGTCAACCAGATGGATAAATGACTCTGTGGAGCTTTAAGTATGAATCACGTAGGCGAAACGGCCCGGGCAATTGGCTACCATACATTAAGGTACCGCACCGCAAATCGTGTCCACATAGAAACCCGTGTCATAAACCGACTGAAGCCCAACTAAGCCGAAGAACTGCATTATTCTGCATGGCAGTAGCACTCTTCTGCGGAGCGAAGTACTACTACCTGGAGAATAGACAAGCTAAAACATGAGTGAAAGCCGCCGTCGAGGGAGTTTCCAGGGATGAAGTCGAGAGCCTATTCTTGCGTCGCCTCGTGTAAGTCCTTTGCGGGAGAACAGGCTGTCGATCGAGACATTGAGTTAAAGCGCTGTTGCTGTGCCGATCAACCGAAGACAAGAAGGCAGGAAAGACGCTGCACAATTAAAACCAGACTTGCAGCCATAGTTCACGCGCCGCCAGCCTGAATACGAAGGTCAGCGTTTCGGCAGCAGCATATGCATATGGACATGTTTTGCTACATACAACCACGACAGCGCTCGATGCTCAGCGGGGTCCAGCAGCATTACTTAGTCCACGGGCTCGGGCATCTTGGTCAGGCCCAGAATTTTGATCGGGAAGCGATCCGCTTCCACTGGAGCCGAAACGGCGTCAAGTGCCGCAAAGACAGGTGGAGCAGGAAAGGGTCTGATTGGACGGATTTTGTCGTTCTGGCACTGGCATGTACTTGAGTTGTATTAAATTTAAAACACTACGTGGTTGGAAGGTTGATTGCTATTCAAGTTCCCAGTGGCCCAGACGTGGCATCCGAGGTATCGGTCGACAGCGTCGCTGAGTACTGAGCACTGGATACGGGGGCGATCAAGAGTAAGTTGTTGCCAGTGAAGTGAAGGCAAAATACTATATTTGTCTTGTCTAGCACGAGATTCACTGGCACTTGACGAGCTTGGTTGAGAAAGCTGTCGCCCTTGGAAGGGGTGGTAGATAGAATCCAGCAATTTCGCGTGCGCGAGCGGTGGTGCTTTCTAGCCGTGGCCGCAGTGGTCGTTGTGGTTGAGGTGATGACATAATCACTTGTCACAGTGACCGTGACTTCAGGGATTCTGCCAGAACGACGATTCAATGGCTTGTTCGAGAACAAAGTCATGTTTGTGGGTATAGAAACTAAGCTAATCTCTGATTTACCCAGGTCCGCAATGTCCGCTGTTTGCTTGTTTGCTTGTTTGTTTGTAATACAGTGAATGCATCCATCGGAGCTACTGTTGCCGCGTGTGTTGCGGTGACGCTTGTGGAGCTGCAAAAATTAGGCAAAAAACATTCTTATGCTAGTGGAGTTTGGAGCACTGAACAGATATCACCGACATCCCCGCATTCCTCAATACCTCCAACGCGTCTCTCAAAATCCACGTTTAAATGCGTCAATTCAATGCGTAGCAAGAGCGCCGTTCCCTCCCTCCCGAGCGCCCGCACAAACGTGGCCGACGATCAACAAATTTGGCCCCTCTCTGACTCCCTCCAACAACTACCGCCTTTTGCTCACTACGGCGCTTAACAACTTGAACGACAATATGCGCAGGATTTACACACTGGCAATCGTTCGGTCTTGCCCTTGATAAGTAATTTGAATGTCATTATCCGTCATTGTCAAGTCCTACCGCATTTAGTTGACCATGCATAGATTCAGAGTCTTGTACTGGTACTGCAAAGCCTCAGACTAAATCAGTCCCCAATTTCCGCTCTGTTACATATGCATTACGTACCAAGGATGATCGCTGCTCAAGGCAAGTCTGCGTCTGTGCGACCTTGATGATTATTGGGACTCGAAGGGGTCATCACGGAGACTTGAAGTGACTCGGAGCCTTGCTGGAGGAGTATTCTCAGCATGGCGCACGATGTAGGAGAAACTGCGGCGGTACAGTGAGAAAAAGCTGTGCGAGCCAGCGACGGCTTTTTTGCCAGTGGTCCACTGTACGATCATCGGTATTGTGTCAAGGGTGAGTAGTGAGGACGGGAGGATGTGCATGAGATTGATGAGAAGCTGGCGCGGGACGCTCGCGAGACGCCACGAGCGATTTGGGAGTTGCTCTACTTAACGTCAATCTGATTCCATGACTGTAGAGAAAATTTCAACTCAGCAGTCGTCTAGAAAAGGCCTATTTACTGGGACCGCTGTTTCCTCCAAGGGCAGGCAAGACCGGTAGCTGCCGCGGCAGTGCTGTCGCTACCAGCGATGCTGTTGGAGCTAGTGGTTGCACGGCGGCTTGCGGTCTTGAGACTTGAAGCCGCACCGGTAAAGTAAAGGTTAGGTCGTAGTATCTTGAGCACTTTGAACTTATGGCGGTTTTTGGTCGCCGTCGTGTCGGTTGAAGGCGTTCGCAAGGGTGGGACATAGAGTGCAGCTCTTTGCGGTATGAAGCCGGGGATCTGAACAATTGAGCGCATGTAGTTCTTCTACCGTATATTGAGTTCATGAGAGAGAAGGAAAATATTGGGTACATACCCGAAATAGTCCTGATTTGAGGGTGAAATCATAATTTGATTGCGTCGGGACGGCGCCACCGTTTCGCTCTTTCTGCGACATCTCAACATCTCCTTTTCCCTCTCGAATTCGGCGCGTACCTCCTTGAAGACGCGGGCAGATATCGGAAACATGTTTTAACCAACTTGCGCCCACTCAGCGGTCATGGATGGGCCTGACTGGCTGCCAAGGCCGTTGTCACCGTTCTACCATCCAAACTTCGTAGTGGCGCAAGATGGACTTGCTGAAGAGAAGGCCTTCGTTGAGCACATGCTCTTTTTCGTGGTGAGCAATTCAGTTTTGAGTATGGATGATCTTGACCAGTAGTAGCTGCCACTGCAACGCAATCCACGTCGACCATCCAGTGAGATCCAGTGCATAAAAGTCTTCAAGTCGTTTTCAGCCTTAGACTGAGCACCGGTTCATCGAGATTGTCGCATCTAGCCCTCTGTTGATCCGGATGTCCTTAGACCCACAAAACATCTCCTTGCAAGTGCAAACTCTTGGGCTTGGCGGTCTGGGGTAGCTCGACAACGAAGTCGCCAAATGAAGCAGACTCGAACTAGACTCCTCGAGACTTGTTGCGCTAGTCCACTGTCCCAATCACTTTCGTATAACACAACCCGGGCCGTCTCAAGGCGACAACTTGAACCTCCCGTCTAAAGGTTATCCAGATGGGATAGTATTTTTAGCATGGAATTGAAGTTACGAATTTCAAGACCCATCGTGCGCCTCGTTGTATCCTCCTCTGCGCTACTCGAGTATCCCTCCACAACGACATTCTCCTCATGTTGAAGTTTCGAAAGCTTGTCAGCTTCAACGGTCAACAAGCTCAGGCTCGGTTTTCTAGCCTAGCTCGCATCCACGGGAGGACGGAGACGGGTTTGACGCGTGCCGTGATCTTCCAGAAGTCAAGAGAACAAACAGAGCACCGAATAGAGGGACACACTACTACTTAGCGGTCACGTGAGTCACATGGTCCTCCAACCGCTCTCCTCCTCTCAACCTCTTCCAGCCCAAAATCCCGATATTCAAATAGCTACCATTCGCCTCAACAATGCAGGCTCAACGACGCGGACATAGTTTGCCCATCCAGGCAGGCATTGGCCCTATTGTCAACGTTATGGCCAGCGCGACTGGTCCACGTGCGGGCTTGGGCCGCGACGCGACTAACAATCGTGTGAACGCTTTGGACGCATCCAGGAATCATGCCACCCCTTCGAATACCAAGAAAGACGAGGAAGACGACATGCGAGGGCTTTTTGGCAGTGACGACCTCACCCTTGACGCGCTTGACCAGGCCGATGATGATGATGAGGGCTCAATCCAGGAGAACGCGCAATGCGCTCCAAGAGAGCCCAATGACGGCGACTTCAACTTCGAAGAGTTTGAACTTGCCAAGGACGACCAGGCCAACGAACGCGAAACAAGAGAACTGGACAGCGATGATTTTGACTTTGAAGACCTTGTAGATGCTGAAGGGGAGGAAAACGAGGAAAACGAATGTTTCAAAGGCGATGGCGCTACCACACACCCACCTGCTTTCGTTTCTGGCGACACTTTTCCGTCAGCCATTTCTGCGGTCCAAAACCATACATCGGTCATGACGGGCCCCAACCTCACAGACCCAGTTTCGTCAGCCAACAACAGTGTTTCATATGAAGACCACGAGGCTCAAAGGCAAATGTTGGCGATTCTGGGCGGTCAACGACTTTTCCAATCTCAGCCTAACGGCGACCATCTCCTGCGCGGACAGTTGTCGGGCTTTGGCACTCCAGTCAACGAGACCCCACAATACTCCGCGCGACAGGCCTCGATAAATGGCGGTTTTCTTTCGCACCAACTGCCGGACTATGGCCGGCCAGTGGACAACTCCCAACAATACGCAATTCATCAGCAGTCTGTTGGTGTGGCCGCACCTAATCAATACGCTGTTTTCAACCATCCTGGCCTTAATCTAGCGGCGCCACAAAATTACAACTCTGCCTCCCTCTATAATCCTTTCGCTATGCCTCCCCCAACTGCCTATTTCCAACCATGGGCCGCGGCCAATGCATATCAGCCGTATCCGTATCCTGCCCCGTTGGCGGCTAGAGGGCAGTATGCTGCACATGCTCCGGCCGCTGGTTCGTCTTACCGATACAACAATGCAGCTCTTCCGACCTCCTATCCTATGCATGCCCCCTCTTTTCCCAACAACGGCCTCCATCAAACGAACGAAAATTTGTATCGACATCATCAGCCGCAGCAGCAGAATGGTTCCGGCTCCTCAAGGAGTGCGATACCTCTCCAAGAACCATCCCGGAATGCGAATACTCGAGGATACCGCTTCAAGCAGCATCAGCTCAAGCCTAATGTCCGCTATTCTCCATATCCAGCTCAGTCCTCGACTGCCGCAAAAAGTGGGGATCACAGGTAAATGTTTTTCTTCATTGACCTTGTGACTTACATAGTGCTGACTTTTTCTAGCTCTGTCAACCGTGAAAAAATGCCAACGGTTACCCCGCAACCAAAAAATGCCCTGGAGCTGTAAGTCCAATCCCGCTTTTAATCCTGACCCTTGCTAATAGTCGACCCCTAGTCATTGGGTCGTTAATGGCACCCCCCAGCCAGCAAGGGCTGAGGCCGGTCCGTCCTCCCAGGCTTCCGGAGAACGGTAAAGTCTTCGGTTTTCACGCTCAATGCGAATACTGACGACTTCCCAGTCACGTGCCACGCGAGACGGAGACGCCGATACCCGAGATGGCGGTACAGGTGCCACAACCACGCGCGCCGCGTAAAAAGCCAGTGCAGCAGCCCCGGAGAGTCAAAACTTTGAAGTTATCCCCTTTGATGGTGGCCGCCGCGCGCGCGAAGTTGTCTGCTCAAACAGTGGCAGCCCTCGACACTGTGGTCTCGCTCGGGGATTGTAATGAGTCTGCCGACTGCCGGATCCCAATTATCGGCGCTAATGGCGAGGGGGAGCTATGCGGGCATACATTTGCGGACGGGCAGCACAGCAATAACGCGACGGCCAAGACAGTTCGCGACCACCTGATCGCGGTGCACGGATTTACGGACAACCGGCGCGGGGGGCGGCGCGGAACCGGGCCAGAGGCGCCCCGGACGATGGAGTGCGGGTGGGCGATGGAGGACGACGGGGAACCATGTGATGTCACGTACGATGATGTTGGGAAGACCTCGGACCATATGTGCCGTGCGCATGTCCGTCGGGATTCCTATTTTCGGTGCGTAGGCGATTCGACCTGCCGGCGGATCTTTCGCACCAAAGACGAGCTGACAGTGCATCTCGTCGACTGCGAGGCGGAGGCCAGACGCAAGCAACAAGCGGGGTGGGGGCACGTGCTCGCGGCAGCAGAGGCGTGATGGGGTGGCCATAAACTGTATTATTATTCCTGGTGTATCGATATCTTTTGGACAGTATTTGTAGTTAGGTATTTCTGATCTGTACAAGCCAAGACTCTGTTTATACCATCTAGATGTTTTTTTGAGAACACTATATCCTCGTTGGTCGAAAGCTGAATCGTGATGCTATTTGAGAAATGCACGTGCTTGTGACCCAACGCGTCAGTGTCACTGTGACTTAACGTGTCTGCTCACACCATATGGTCGAGATCCAAGTTACAAAGGTACTTCTACACGAATCCCCTTTCTCTTAGGCCTAATTACTTAGTTGGACTCGCTACCTCAGCCTCCAAGCAAGCTGCCAGCGCCACTCCCACCTTTGGAAGATGAAGCAGCTTCGAGAGCATTTTTGGTTGCATGGGTACGTTTTCATGTTTGTTCGACTCAACGACTGCTTAGGGGGGTCAGGATCCTATATTGGATTATGCTTCTGCAACTTTGGCTTCCCAGATGAACATTCCCACTTTGGCCAGTGAAGTGCGAGAACAGCTCCGCAGCTTCGATCTTGAACAGCTCAAAGTGCAAGCATTCCATATCAAGGGCGTGTCAGTCACGGGAGTCCACCTTCTCGCTGTTGGTGGTGGTAACTTTGTGAGTGATGATTCTTATATTATTAACATGCAGTGTCGACTTTCTTCAAGGTGTTCCTCGTTGCGCTAACCGACAAAACAGATTTCATCGCTCGCCTCCGGATACCCACCGCCGGACTATCTGCTGAGAGTGTATCTGCCGAACTCTTATCCGAGGTTGCAACAATGCAATTCGTTGCCAAGCATACAACTATTCCTGTTCCCGCCATCTTGGGCTGGAATGACACCTCTCAACCGGTCGGGACACCTTATATCTTCATGGAACGAGCTTTGGGCGTGCCCCTCGCGCAGGTCTCTCCTCTCTTTACGACTGAATCCTGGCGCAGACTTACTGCGGAGGTTGCCGATTTCGAGCAGCAGCTTGTTGACCATCCTCTGGAAGCCATCGGGGTGCTGACTGATGCTGACGGTACCGTCGGTCCGCCGCTACACCACTACATGCTCCTTCCGCCGAACTCTCCTCGTTTCACGTCCTCCCGCGACTACCTCATGGCCCGTCTGCGTGGCGCACAAGAACGCATTCCCGACCCTGTCGAGTGGCAAAAGACGCGGGCGCTCTATTCTGAAGACAGCGGGGGCAATGACGCAAATTTTCTCACCAGGGACGAGTTTTATAACTACCTTGAGCGACTACATGCCCACGCAACGACGATGAAATCCATACCCGAACTTTTCCGTCTCGCCCACAATGATTGGCACTCACTCAATGTCCTCGTTCGATCCGCCGAAGACCCTACGATCGTGGCCGTCATCGACTGGCAAGGATCTCACGTCCGACCCTTCTGGGATCATCTTTACCAGTGTTTTATGTCCCCACTTTTCCAGCGCGACAACTACGACGTGGCCATTCCCGAGGAGGAACTTAGCAAACTGTGGATCTCTCTTCGGAACAACATGCCGTTCCCGGAATCGTGGTTTTGGGTGGATGCTCTTCGTCTCATCAATAGTGATCCCTTTGAATTGACAAAAACGGCCGTAGAAAAGGTTCTGGCTAAATATGAATCAGAAAACCAGTAATATTTACCGCGCTAGAAATGCTGTTGTCTTCTGTGAAGATACACTAGAGTGGGATCTCAACTCAGCAGTCCCGCATAGAGAACGCTTGAAAGACTCACTGGGACCCGCGGACCGTGACCTGTTTTCTCCAAGGGCTCAGCCTGAGACAAGACCGGTATCTGCTGCGGCTTGAGGTCTTGAAAGCCGCAAAGTGGAATTAGGTCGTGAAAGAAAAGAAAGAAAGAAAGTGTATTCCCCGCTGAAGTCGTCGTTTCTTGAGCACTCTAATTTGTTGTGGTTTTGAGCTGAGGTCGAGTCAGTGTCCAAGTCAGATTCAAGTTGTAGGTCAAGGTGTTCGAACTTCGCAAGAGTAGGTCGCGACGTCGACGTCATAGAGCGGGGCCCTTTGCGCTATGAAACCGAGGACATGAGAAATCCAGCGCATGAAGAGTTTTTCTACATAGTTCACGGAAGCGGGCAAGAAGCGGGAAGGAAAAAGAAGTCGCGCTCCCGAAATGGGCGTGATTTGAGGGTGAAATCATAATTTGATTGCGCAGGGACTTACCGTTTCTGCGACATGTCAACATCTTCTCTTCCCTTGCCTCTTCCCTCCTTCTCGAATCCGGCGCATACCTCCTTAGAAGCGGGCGGAGAAAGATGTTTTGCAACGAGCTTGCGCCCACTCGGCGGCTAATACTCTGTGCGCGAGCAATCTGAAGTTGCGCTGTAGCCTGTCCAGGTGCCCAGAATTGGCTCAGATTCGCTGAATGGTCGTCGTTGAGCACATGCTGGTTTTTCGCAGTGAGCAATCCGGTTTAATGACATTTTTGTTCCAAGATTCACTCACAGTATACGTAGTAGTCGGCACTGCAACGCAACCTGCGTTCTCTAGAGAAGGCATGAAGACCTCCTCCACATCCACGCTACTCGAGGTTATCGCACCCGAATTCTTGTCTAAGAGGATGTCTCAAAACCTCACAACACCCCCTTTCCTCGCGCGAATCATTTGACTGGGCGACATGGAGTTCAAGAGCTGGCTTGATGGGGGAGTATCCCAACAAAGTCGACAAACGAAGCAGACTTGGACTGGAACCTTACGCGGCATACTTGTCACTGTACTGATCGCTGTCGCGCAGCACAACCATCCTACTGCGACAATGTTTCGCGTCCAAAGCTATCATGATGCGATATTATTATAGCGCATTATAGACCAAAAGTTGCAAGACTCATCCTGTCTTCGCTGCTTCTTCTCCTATCGCACCACTTGGCTATCTCACTACACCGACGTCCTCCTCAGGACGTGGTTTGCTTGCCAACCTCAACGATCAACGCGTCAACAAGCTTAAACCCGTCCTTCCAGCCTACCCTGCATCCATGCAACCGGAGGAACGGGTTCCAGCAAGTCCTCGACGCGTGCGGTGGCCTTGCGGAAGCGGACAGACCAAACAGAGCATCACACAGAGGACCGCTCGACTATTTAGCGGTCACGTGAGTCACATGATCCAGGAAACGCTCTCTCTCTCAACCCTCTGTCGACCACAGCCCAAATCCACAAACCCCCAGCCAGTATAATCAACTACAACTATGCAGTCGCAACAACACTACCACAGCTTGCCCATCCAAGCCGGCTTGGGCCCGATTGTCAACGTGAGGGCCAACGCGACTGCCCCACGTGCGGGCTTGGGCCGCGACACGACGACCGATCGTGTGAAGCCTTTGGACGCGTCTGGGCGTTTTGCCACCCCCTCCAATTCCCACCCCAACTGTCCTTCTGACGAGGAGGACGATGTGGACGATACGAGAGGGCTTTTCAGTGACGCTTTCGACATGAACGAGCTCGAGGAGGCGGATAACGAGGAGGGTACGAGCGGGAAGAGTACGAGCGTCGAGCCGGGGAAGCTTCAGCCCGAAGACTTCGATTTCGAGGAGCTCGAGCGTCAGCTGAATGAGGAACTCGGGGGCGAAGGCGAAACGAGGGAGTTAAGTGGCGACGATTCTGAATGGGGAGATCTCGAAGATGCTGAAGGAGAGGACGACGATGACATGAGTCCCGATGGTGCTGGCGCCGCCACCGCCCAACCTCAGGCTGATGTCGTTCCCATTTCTGGCGGCACCTTCCCCTCACCCGCCACTATCACTTCGCTCGCGGTCCATACACCACCCACAACTCGGACAGACGACTCTGCACAACTACTCGTAGAGCCACTTCAACTGGCTGCCACACAAAATGGACTCGGGCCTCAAGAAGACGAGGAGGTCCACAACTTCGACAGGCACTCGGAGCCCAACTACGAGTATGTCCCAATCCCGCAACAAACAGGCTATGGCGATCTGGAGACTGGCAGCAGCCAGCCGCAACAGCACAATCAATATGCTCACTGGCCACAGCCTGGACCAGTACCCTGGGCAGCGCCATCGCAACACGCGCCACTGCCGACTTATGGATGTTATGCTTCTTCTCAGCCAAACTATTATGCTATGCCGACTTCTTATGACGCTTATTACGGACAACCCCCGCTTCCTGCTGCCCACGGAGCGGTTAACCCACACCAACAACAGTATCCCTATCCCGCCTACTATCAGCACCAGCAGCCGCTTCCAGTTGCTGCCGGACCACAGTATGCCCATGCTGCCTCAAACTATCCGCCTCCGCCGCCTCAGCGTTACGGATACAGCCACAACAATGCGGTCGTTCCGAATGCGGGTCCTCAAAATATTTACCCCATGCCTCCCCCCTCGCACGCGTACGCGCACGATGCCTACCCACCGAACCAGCGATTATATCCCCACCAACAGCAAGCTGCTTGGGCCGCAACACCGAGAGCTGCGCTCCACGTTCCTTCGCGAAACGCGAACACCAATACGGTCTTTAAGCATTACCAGCCGAAGCACGCTGGTAATGTCCGGTTCGCTCCGTATCCGGCCCAGGCCGAGACCGCGAAGAAAAGTGGGCATCGCAGGTAGATTTGTTTTATCGCTCGGTTTGGTATTTCGCGCTTACTGGTCATACTAGCCCCGTCAAGTCCAACCAAGGACAGGGCTCGACTATGCCACAGGAGAACAACGCTCCGGATCTGTAAGTCCTGTTGCGTTGTTAATGTTGACCAGTGCTGACCGCTCGTTTAGTCTATGGGTGAATACTGTGGCCATGAACGCCGAGGCAGGCCCGTCCTCCCGGCCCGCTGTCACCAGAGAACAGTAAGTCGTCCTTTTTCTTGTCTGATATAAATGCTCATGAAATCGCTAGTCGCGGTCATGTGACGCCGGTGCCGGTGTCGGTTCCCAGACTCAATACGATTACCACCCAGCATCCGCCCGCTGCTGTACCACGGAGGCGGCAGCAGCGCCGGCGCGCAGACCCCGCAGACTCCGTAGTGGAGGCTGCACGTGCCCAGCTCTCGCGCGAGATACTGCTGGCCGTGGAGCGCACGGAGACGCTCGACATGCGCGGGGACGCAGCCGAATGCCGAATGCCCGCCGGGGCCGGGGCCGGTGGGGTCACGTGCGACGCGGCGTTCAGGGTCGGGAAGATGAAGGAGAAGGTGACGCCCGAGTCGATCCGGGACCACCTCGTGCAGTTCCACGGGTACCCGAAGACGCGGGGCCGGGCCGGCGCGGGCGCGGACCTGCTGTGCCGGTGGGTGATGGAGGACGGGAGCACGTGCAACGGGCCATTCAAGAACGCGCTCGCACTGGGGACGCACGTGCTCAAGATGCACGGGAAGCAGGACTGGGTGCGCTGTGTGGGCGACCCAGAGTGCGGCCGGCTGTTCCATTCGAAGAAGGCGCTGATCGTGCATCTCGTCGAGTGCGAGGAAGAGTTTAAGCGCAAGGCGCAAGCGTGTTGGGGGCACGTGCAGCCGGAGACCCAGGAATAACGATGGGGCATGTACCTGGAAAGTGTAGCTTTTTTGGATGTATCGTTAGGACATGGACTGTATCAGTAGTTACTTACAAGACGAATTTTGTATAATATAATCACCTACTTCTGCTAGAAACGATGTCTGTCGCCGGCCCGCCGTGTCTCTCCACAGCTGCAGCATGTCTTTTGTCGATGTGGATCCGCTTCAAGTTAACAGCGGGCGGACACTGGAAGGCCAGTCTCACTTATTTTTGCTTGCCAGTCAGAGCTTCTGTGCTTGCATGCAACCTAGTTCGGGTGGAGAAAACTGCCAGTTGGAGCTTTTCAAGTTCTGCCCTGCTTGATACTTGTTTTGCAGATGCACGTGCACGTGCTTGTGACGCGACGCGACTTCGACCCGGTTGCCGCGTCGATCGTGTGCTCCCTCGGGGCAGCAGGAGAGAAGGAGGGGCGCGCTGGGGACCGGGGTGCAGACTACTAGCACGGTCCTGCATATCCTTTGTCGATGTGGATCCGCGTCAAGTTGGCCGCGTGGAGGAAGGCCGCGGCGATCAGTCGTATTTATGGCAAACCTCAGGCAGGCTCTGCGCTTAAATACGACCTGGTCCACGGGCTTCGTTCTGCTCCAACTCTTCTTCAGCAAGCATGGACTCGGACCAACCGCCCGCTCAGGCTGGCGAACACACGTTACATCATCATCATGACTCGGAATCCTCCGCGTCGTCAGACACAGGGGCGAGTCGCGTGAGGACCGAGCACGGAAGTTTGTTAGCGGACGAGGAAGCAGACGAGCAGGGGCACACCGCTTTCCTGCGCCGCTCCCCTTTCATCCTCATCGCGACTCTCCTCTACACCGTTCTGGCGCTGTACGCCTGGGTCCTGATCTGCATCCTGGCGCACCGGCCGATCGGCGTCAAGCAATACGGCGTGAATATACGCAACAAGGACAACAGCGGCTGGGGGTGGCTCAGCGCCCAAGCGTATCACGGGCTCTATGTCCGAAGCGAGCGGTATTTCGAATCTGCGCGTCTAGTGCAGGCCGTCGTCTCCCTGCTGACGATCCCGCTGACGACGGCGGTCTGCAAGCGCGCCGCGGTCACGTTTTTGCAGTCGCACCGCCACCGTCCCACGATGCGGCAGGCGATGGCCCTCGCGGACGGCGCGTGGACCGATATTGCGGTTGTAGGCCGGCTGGCAGTGCCCGGCGCGGGCGGCTGGAGGCGCTACGGCTCTTGGCTGTTGCTCTACGCCATCTTCTTGCATGCACTAGGTAAGCAACCATCAATCTCATGTCGAGCGGAGGCTGAATACCATTTAGGCATTGTTATCTCGCCGCTGCGCGAGGCATACCTGACGACAAAAACCATCCGCACACCGACTTCTCCCCAAATGATCGAATTTCTCGTCGACATCCCGGATCAGTTCGACCCGGTCACGGGCCGGAGCGCCGTCGACGACGGGTACATCGCCGCCCTGCTGCGCTCGCGCCTGGCGTCCACGACGAACGCCCAGGCGCAGATCAACCTGTGGTCACGCGCGCCGGACTGCAGCCCCGTGACCCAGCCAAACAACTCGCTGCTGTGTCTAGTGGACGGCAGCCAGCACATCCTCGCGAACATGTCGCTGCTGCAGGACCCGTTCTTTGCGCAGCTGCCCACCGGCTTCTCGACCGGGCTCATCAGGCAGTTCGCCCCGCGGATCAACTCCACGGCACAGCGGGAGAACATCTCCGCGGCGGCGTTCCCCGCCGGCTGCGCCGAGATGCCCGACGCCCTCTGGCTCCGCTACGCGAACGGCCCGGCCTCGCCCGGCGTCTACGCCGTCGAAGTCTGCATGCCGGGTAACATGACCGCGTCCCCCTGGCAGCCCACGCGCGCGCGCCAGGACTTCCGGGAAGAGCTGTACCTCAACATCACGTTCTCCGCGTTCGACTGGCTTGACCACGGCCCCGCAAATGGCTCGTATTACACCAAGATCACGCTGGACACCACGGCGGGGTACTTCGAGCTGCCGAACGACATGAACGGCGGCGTGGGCGGCCCGCTGATCGATGGCGACCCGAGCGATTACTGCGACGACAGCTGCGCGAGCCAAGGCCCGGGGGCATCGGGCCCGGGGGGCCAGCCAGACCCCATCGCAGACTACAACCTCACCCGTCGTGCGCCGCAGACCGGCTTACCAATCGACGCCGCCCAGCAGCTCCGCCACACGCGCAACAAGGGCCCGCTCCTTTTCGTGGCCCTGGCCCTCTTCGGGATGGGCTCCTTCATCGACAAGGCCCAGAGCTACGAGTCCTACTTCGCCACGGCGAAGGACAACAACGGCACGGGATCGATCTGCCTCGACGCCGTCCCGTTCATGCCGCTGCTCCACGACTGGCTCGACCAGCGCAACATCGACAACGCGCTGGACCCCTGTCTCACGCTGTACGGCCCGAACCTCACCGCCAACCCGATGCCGAGCCAAGTCGTGTACTACCTCTCCGCGTTCCTCGAGAGCCCGGCGGACAGCCATCCGGGCGAGCGGGTGCAGAACGCGTTCGCCGCGGCGGCCTTCCTCGCGAGCCAGACGTGGATGTCGTCCATCACGACGGGCAGCCTCTGGGTGTCGTACGATTCCGGCGCGGACACCCCGGTGCCGGCCATCTCGGACGCGGCGATCCGCTTCCTGTCCGTGCTGCTCGGCGTCTACCTCGGCGGCCTGCTCGCGCTCGCGGTCTACAGCACGCTGTCGCCCCACTGGACGCCCCGCCTCGACGCGTTCGCCATGATGCGCATCGGCGCGGCACTCGCCGACCGCTTCCCGTTGGCGCTCGTAGAGGACACCGCGGCGCTCAGGGCTCTTGACAAGACGCCGGGCTGGATCGGGGATGCAAGCGGGGGAATGGGCAGCGTCGGGGAGCTTGGGGTCGGCGCGGAAGCGCCCCTGGTGGCGCGACGGAGGTATCGGTGTCTGGAACCCGACCGTGACGATGCAGCGAGCACACAGACTGGTAAGCCTGAGGCGAATAACCGATTAAACGACACACCTTGACTACCCTTTGTCCACCACAAATTGCATCAATCCAAAAGTAAGTATTATCAAGTCGGCCTACATGTTGTACAGTACTAGTAATTTGTTAAAATATATCCAGCACTTACTTGGTACGCTGAGGTTACATCCTGTATGGGTAGGATGAGTTGCTTTTGCCCCACGCCTTAGCTCCGGTACGGAGAAACAGTGGGCCTGCGAGTGTCGAGAAAAGTTGAGGAAGTCCCGTCGCGTTGCGTCACAGGCACGTGCCAGCCTGACGCTATGCTAGTCATTCAAGTTCCTGATTTGAATTCTGCTGGACATTTGTCGCGTCTTGCACCCAACAGACATTCCAAATGTTAAGCCTAGTGTGCAACAGAAACAGAGTGTTGGTTTACGTCCGGGTCCGCGTCGAAGCCGGCATACTTGAAACTGGTCCGGCTCGCCCCGGCCTTAGCAACCTCCGAGCCGATCAGTCGTGACGCCGCTCTCTAAAATCTTGTCTCCTACTCCCATGTCCTCCTCTCTCGCACATCTCCCGCCGGAGCTGCTGCTCTCCATCTTCACGCACGTGCTCCCCGCGCATACCGTCGACGCGGCGCCGGTGCCGGTGATCGGGCGGCGGACGGGGCGGAAGGGGCAGAAGCACGTGTACGCGCTCGTCGGCGTGTGGGCCATCGCCCAAGTCTGCCGCAGCTGGCGGTCTCTGGCGATCGGCTACGGCCCGCTGTGGGCCGCGTTTGTGCTGCCGACGAGCCTGACGAAGAACGCCGTCCCGCTGCTGGCGGCGCAGCTGGACCGGGCCGGCCCGGAGGCGCCGCTGGACGTGCTGCTGTGGTTCACGGGCGGGTATCATTCGAATGACCAGATGTCGTGGTTCGCGCAAGCTCTGGCGCGGCTTACGGAGCAGCGCGCTAGATGGCGGAGACTGGTGATCGTCGTTGCATCGCTTGCGCAAGTCCCGGACGGCTTTTTTGAGGCGGGGATACGGGATGTGCCGCTGCTGGAGGAGCTGGTGTTTAGTGGCGAAGGCGTTGCGTATGTGGACCCGGAGCTGGTCGTCGAGAACGCGCCACGGCTGTCACGTGTTCTCCTCGGCGACGCGTGGTCCGCGCCGATGACGAATATATCCCTTCCCTGGCACCAGGTCACGCGTTACAAGGCGTGCGAGGTCGTCCTCCCCATCGAGCCCGTGAAGCACCGCGAATTTCTGCACGCGGCGGCCGGGGCGCTAGTCGATGCGGACATTGGCTTCGATGAGGTGGACCCGGAAGTGCTTGCTGCCAAGGCCGGCGGTGAGCCGATTGTGTTGCCGCGGCTGCAGCGGCTGGCAATCGCCAATACAGGATTCCTCGCAGCGCTGACGACGCCTTCATTGACGGAACTGTACGTAATCCAGGACATCGACCCCGTTGCGCCCTTCCTTCTCCGCTCACAATGCACCCTCACCTATTTAACCCTTGAGTCCCTCACAAAATACACGGACCCAGCTGACATCATCAGCCTCCTCGAGCACGCCCCCGCGCTGACTCACTTGGCCATCGACTACACAGCCGACTGGGAAGAAATGCAGGCCCTGCTCGCCGCTTTGACCGTGCACCCCGCCGACCCGCTCCTCTGCCCCCCGCCTCTCCACGTTCTCCCTCGCGGACCCCGCCGGCACACTCGGCCCGCAGCGGACCGGCGACCTCCGCGCCGACCTCGTCGATTTCGTCCGCTCCCGGTCCGCCGCGGCCGACAAAGGCTTCTGCGCCAAGGTGGTCGAGGTGAACGTGTATGGGAAACGTTTGCGCCTGCGCACCGCCGCGCACCGCATGCGCCAGCACGGCGTGCTCCGGATTGACAACCGGATGGGGAAGGAGGGGCGGAGGGCCGTCGAGCGGTGGCGGCGGTACAGGGAGGAATACTAATTACATATCTGTACATGTGCCGTTTACTGAAGAGGATTTATGTCACGGCGCTGGCCGAAGTCGCGTCGCGTCACGCGCACGTGCAGCATGCCACGCGCATGGAAGTAAGCAAGTGGTCACATTCGTCTCCTCGTAAGCCCAGAAACTGCACCCCAAGGCCAGCGGGAGACGAAAATGACGTGCGGAGCCACGGCCGCCGGTTTCTGTGTATGTATACAAAGACTCTTGTAAGGCGGCCTAATACTATCGCGCGTCTTTTTGTGCTTTTCACGGTCATTTGGAATATGAGTAGCTGCCCTTTCATAGCCCTCTCAAAGACAATTGTCGTGTCACCATTGGTCTCGTCTTTCGCGTGCACTGAAAGAAAGACAAACAGACAAAGATGCTGTTTCACTGCAGAAAGAGGTGATTATTCAATACAAGCCCAGAGTTCCGAGTCACTATAAATACACGTCCCCCCAAAAAATACGCAACGATCACCCCTCCCCCCTCAGGCTCACTGCTCTACCCGCGCATTCCCCCACTCCACCTCCCTCTTCCTCCCCGCAGTTCACTAACTTGAAATGCTTCACCATCTCGTGCTTGGTGCGGAACACCGCCCGACACTCCGCGTCCCCTGTGTACGGCTGCGAGCTGCGAAGTCTGATGACTTTGTCGTTGGCATTCGACGGCCGCTGGCGCCGGCTCTCGGGCCGGGGCCGGAGGTGGACTCTGGAGTTGGAGTTAAAATTGGTCTTGCGGGACTGTCAGAGCGGCCCCGCACAACGCGACTTCAGATTCTCTGGGTTGTTGTTCTGTGGCACGGTGGCCGCCGGGCCTTGTATTTGGTGGGCAGAGCTGGAAACGGGTCAGCGCAAAGTAGCGAGCGCAATGGGAAACGAAACCTACCTGCGATGCCCGGTCGGCGGTCATCTGGGCGGCAGCAGTCGACGGCTGCGACGGGTACGGCGAATACCGAAACTGGTTCTCCCTGCCCGCGACCGCGACGGGGATGGTGTTAGCATTCGCATTTCGCGAAGGAACTTGGAGCGCAGTTCGAGGCGTTGCGGCCCAAGCAGCTTGCTGTTGCTGGGGATATAATTGCTGGTCTGGTTGGTAGGCACTGTGCGCGTCCGCGTGCAAGGGGGGAGGCATGGGGTAAAAATTTTGAGGACCCGCATTTGGAAAGACCGCATTGTTGTGGCTGTAACCGTAACGCTGAGGCGGCGGAGGTGGATAGTTTGAGGCAGCTTGCGCATACTGTGGTCCGGCAGCAAGCGCCTGCAGATATTGCGGAGCGGGATATCGGTACTGCTGGTGCGGGTTAACCGCTACGTTAGCAGTATTTGGGAGTTGCGGTCGGTAATAAGCGTCGTAGGAACGCGGCATAGGCATAGGAGGTGGTGGAGCATAATAACTTTGCTGAGAAGCATAGTTGGAGTCGTAATGCGGTGGCGCAGCCGGATGATGTCCCCCAGAAGGGAAAGCATATTGCGCGGGTGCTGCCGGCGCAGGCTGCGGCCAGTGGGAATATTGCTCGTTGAATGGCGGACCAGTGGGAGGAGCATAACCCGCCATGAGTTCGGGTGAGACATATTCGTAGTTGGGCATTGACTGACCATGCCCAGCGAATGATTCGACCTCGTCGTCTTCTCGAGGCCCGCCTATATCGTCTGTCGCGGCCAGTTGGAGTGGCTCGACCAATAGTTGGCCTGAGTAGTCTAAGTTTGTTGTTGGGGGTATCATGATATCGAGCTGGGAAGAAGGGGGTGCGGGTGGTAAAGCATCATCAGAGGGACTGGGTTGGGGAAAATCGGGCCCGATGTCTTTGTCGTTCTCCCCTTCAGCATCCAACAGATCCCCACAGTCAAAATCGTTGCAATTCAACTCCCTCGTTTCGCCTTCGCCTCCGAGTTCCTCGTTAAGGCGACGCTCGAACTCCTCGAAATCCAACTCGTCGTGCTGTAGCTCCCTCGTCTCGACGCTCGTGGTCTCCTCGCCCGTACCCTCCTCGTTATCCACCTCCTCGAGCTCGTCCATGTCGAAATCGTCGCTAAACAGCCCTCTCGTATCGTCCACATCGTCCTCCTCGTCAGAAGAACGATTGAAGTGCGAATTAGAGGGAGTGGCAAGACCCCCAGACGCGTCCAAAGCCTTCACACGATCGGTCGTCGTGTCGCGGCCCAAGCCCGCACGTGGGGCAGTCGCGTTGGCCCTCACGTTGACAATCGGGCCCAAGCCTGCTTGGATGGGCAAGCCGTGGTCGTATTGTTGCGACTGCATAGTTGTAGTTGATTATACTGGCTGGGGTTTGTGGAGTTGGGCTGGGATCAACAGAGGGTTGAGAGAGAGAGAGCGCGTTTCCTGGACCATGTGTATCACGTGACCGCTAAATAGTCGAGCGGTCCACTCGTTGGATGGTGCTCTGTTTGTCCTTTCCGCCGCTTGTGGAAGGTCACGGCGCGCGTCAAGGAGCCTGTTTCGGGCTGGGCTGGAAGGTGAATTTGCCTCTTCGTCGGGGGATGTAGTCAGGATGGGTTTGTTTACTAGTAATCGAGTGGCGCAACGGCTAAGCAAGGCATGATAAGTCTTGAAGCTTGGGACTCAAATCAGGCCAACGCCGCATCCAAATCAGGGCCACAAGCTCCATCAAAATAGCCCTGAGGTCGAATGTCGTCGGTTGTGCTGCACCACGGGCCAGTGAAGACCACAACGACTCTGGAAGATTGCTTGTTGACCTCGTTATCGAGCGACTGGGCATCAATTCAGCTTTCGGAGTTCGTGCCGCTGAGCCATCTAGCTGATGTGAAGCAAAAAGACACGGACATCCTGGATAACTTCGAGGAACAGGGACGGAGACGGCAAGAGCTTCATGTTTTTTCTGGAGAACGCGGATTGTGTTACGGCTGCAGCTACCACGAACATAATCAAGACTCGAAAACGGGATTGCTCCCACCGAAAAACCAGCATGCGCGCTAACCGAACGTTACTGCTGCTCATGAGAGATAGAGAGACAAAACGCGCGGTTGCTTACGGCGACAATAGTCACGACAAATTGCAGTGAACAACACGAGTGCGAGGGGATGAATATGTTGCTGCTAAAGCCTGAGAAGCCTGAGCGGAAGGGCAAGGAGGCCAGCAAGTCTAACCTGGGCTATTGGAGTTTGGACTCTCGAGCTTGTCTTGAGCTATCTACGACAAAGTTCTTGCGTTATGTGGTCCGCTTTCGAGGAGGTACGCGGCGAACTCGAGAGGGAGGAAAGAAGGGAGATGTTGACATGGCGCAGAAACGGCCAACTCCCTGCGCAATCAAATTCTGATTTCATCCCCAAATCACGCCCATTTCGGGAGCGCGTTAATTTTCCCTCCCTCTCCCGTGGACTGAATATAGAAGAACTCTTTCATGGTTTACTCAGATCCCTGATTTCATAGCGATGCGATAACCGCGCTCTATGACCCACTCTTACGAACGCCGCCTGCGACCCCACACTGACTCGCTCAGGCTCAGGCTGACAACTACCGACGATGCATGACAAATGTGCTACTGCGACCTAGCCCTGCTTTGCGGCCTTTGCCACCTCGAGCTGATGCGCGACGGCCAGCTCCCGCAGCATCGCGGGTGGCGGCGGCAGATACCGGTCCTGCATCGAGAAAAAGGGCGCTCCCGGTGGGTCTTTTTGGCTATCTCGGGAAGGCAGGCCCGGGGTATATCTTGCTGGCGGGCCTGGCGATAGGCCCAGCATAGCGTGCGGCGGCCGCAATCCAGGAGAAACAGAGGGTGTTGTCGCGGCGGAGTTTGAAACGGGGTTCAAATGCCCCTCAGCGAATTGAAGGGGCTGTGGATGTGGATCTGCCCAATACCTAACCGCGCCACGAGGGTATATTGCGCTCTTTGGCGGAGAGGGCGTCCGATGTGCTTCCGCCATTGGCGACTCGTCTGCGACATTGATGTATTCACAAACCAGGCCCTTTTTCTGGCAGCGCTCGCACGGGTTCACTGGTGGGTCTTCGGAGACGTTGCACTATGGAGAAATCCTGACCATGATGGTTTCCAATAACAAGAGCTATGTCGGCTTACGCGGACTTTGCGGCGGCGGCACGTTCGACACGCGATTGCGACCCTGTAAAAAAAAACTGGGTCAGCAGAGTCGTACGAATTTAAACGGTGTTGACCTCGTTCTTTGGGATGTGGACATCGCAGACACCGCCTTTTTTATCAATTTCTTCTCGAGCTTTATATACGCAAATCTTCTCGGATCAGATCTAAAGGTACTCCCGCACCAAATGTCCACGGGCGCTAACAGACGGGAGGTCATCACGACGCGAAGACCACTCAATCATAACGCTCTCAGTTGCGTCGTTGCAACATGCGTCGAAGCCTACATGAAACGGGAGTTGGGGGGTCTTTTAAACGCAGTCTCGTTAATTTACCGGATAGATGGGCGGGAGAAGACAGTCGCTTTTAGCAAGTGCTGATCTTAGGAAACCCACACGGCCGAGTGCATATCATCAGCCTGTGAGGTCTGTCAATAGAGCGGTTGGGTACAACATGTTAGATTGTGTTGTTAGCACATAATTTGGCGAGCTCCATGAATGAGTCGACAACCACATCAACATCTCCGCCTTCAGCCTTGGACTTGACTTGGCCGACCTCTGCTGATTCTTCACCGGGACGACGGATATAAACAGTTCGCATTCCCAGTGCCGCTGCCGCTCGAAGATCGTAGATATGGGCCGCAACCATAGCACATTGTCGAGGTGCCAATGACAGATGGTGGGCTGCTCCAAGGTAGACCTTCGGGTTCCTGGAAAAGCAATTCAAAATTCCATTCGAGACAAAGTAAAGCTCATACGGTTTAAAGGAGCTGAAAAGTTCGGCAGAAAAGACGACATCCCAAGGAAGATCGGCGAACTTGGCCATGTCTGCGAGTAGACGAACGTTTCCATTTGAAAGCGTCGCAAGGATGAACCGCTTCTTGAGCGCATAGAGACCGGGGGTTGAATCAGGCCACCCTGGTTGTTGTTAATGAACGCGTCCCGAAGGTAGTATCGAAGTAGTACCGTGGAGACGGTGCCACGCGAGGTTGAGCTGGTCGCGGCCACTGCCATCAAGTTTCGCAGCAAGGCCGTCCCATTCCGGCTCAGAGAGGATGGTTTCGAGGATCTTACTCGTATAAGCGATAGAACCAGTATAAGGCGGAAAATACAATACACCTGGCGGTGCATCTCGTCAACACTTGCTGGGCCGACCCCGCCCTGTGCGACTTGTCGCCTTCCAAAACGAGTTAACCGTCTGCCAGGGCTGCTTCACGGTGAACAAACGTGGTGTCAAGGTATCCTTTGCGCCATGTCTGGGCAAAAGACGACCAGTCTCCATCTGTATAGTACGCATTAATCAGCGGTGTGGAACTCCTCCTGATTCACACTCACCAACTCCATGAGTCTTTCCCAACTCCCCAAGCTCCGCCGTCACCGATCCATGCCAGTCGACCACCGTTCCAAACACATCGAAGAGAAGGGCTTGCACATCAGGCAACGGGTTCTCCGTCATGGTGGAAGAAAGCGTGGAAGGGGCTCCGACGCATGTGAGAGGGGAGAAAGAAGAAAATAGTCCAGGTCACGTTCCGCAAAGTGAGCCGCTTTTGCCGATCAGGTCCTTGCAGGTAACTGAACTTGGAAAAAGTATCGTATCGTTGATTGGAGAGGACTGTAGGCTACTCCAACATATTAGCTACTTATTCTAAGGCTTTCAAGTTTCGAGAAATGTGCTCCAGTCTAGAACCATCATCTCTGGTAGCAGAGACACTGGATCGCTCGCGAACTGACCACCAACGTTTGGTTGAACGTAGGGATCCGGTATCAAATGACTATGCAAACGCATGTCCAGCGGCTGCTGCATCCAGCCCAAGTTGTTGTGGATATGGGGCATTGTCTCGGTTACTAAAGACAATTTGGCGGGCTCAACAACAGTTCTGGGCCGAAGGACAGCGCGAGATCCTGCCAACAGCTCGAAATCATTTTCATCTGCCAGATCCCCAACATCTAAATGAGCCTGGCTCGGTAGTCCGCTATCTTGCATGTCTAAGGTAAGAGCAGCGGTGTTGCGCAGTCGTTGAAGAGAAGGCTGGAATATATCAATGGAAAATATGAGAGTGCGTCGCATTCTTACCAAGAAACCCTTGACCAGAAATGACTGTCTCGCTCCAATCTCTAGATTTGCCAGGGCCTGGTCCAAGGAGCGCAGTGCGGTCGATGCAAAGTCCATTTTTGGTGCTTTACACGCAATGGACCCGAGAATAAACTGAATTTAGATTATGAACTGCTGCCCCCGGTGATGCGAATGTTGACCTACTGCGGCATTGCTAACTGGTGAAGAGCATAAGATATACGGTGGATGGTATCATCAATGACGACTTACGACTCTTGTATATAACCCACCAGCGGTGAAATCTGGCAGGAAAAATCTCGAAGCTGAGCGAATCAGACTTGACGATCATCAACGCGCCGCGATAAGCAGCAAGAAACGAGCTGGCAAATGGACTGTCAAGGGGATTGTCGGGGTTGTCCTTCAGTGCCTGCACAAATGCAGTCCGATGAATGTAAAGCAGCACTAGTAGAGTCTGAAACTGCGACCAGCCAGTCAAATGGAGTCACTCACAATTACCGCAAAATCTGGGAATCAGATTCACTCGAATATATGTGCGAAAATAAAGCGGTCGGTTGGACTGTGAAGGTTGTGTTGGCGAAGCCTCGGTCGCATAATGCATCATGGTCTCGCGGGTGACTTCAATGAATCGACGAAGCTTGCGGTCCATTTCCATCACTTGCTCATATTTTGGACTTGAAGCTTTAGAATAAGTCATTGCGATTGGCGCTGTAATCTGCAGGAATGCCTTCAGGACAATATTCGCTCGATGGCGAGAAATCCACCTCTTTCGTGAATCGCCATTTGGTTTGATAGACTGTTGGGAAACAAAGCGTCAACTTGAAAAGATATGGCCAGTAAATAACCCACAACCAGGTACAGTTTGACCATCTGACGATACACTTGATTCCTTGTCCTTTGGGAATTCACAATCAACTTCACTTGCGGAGATGCTGAGTGGCCGGGAAAACGACAAGGCCTATGGATTGATTTCAGTAATTTATTTGAGACGGGCAGGTTTGAATGGACCTGATAGGTATCCAAAGAGTACAGCTCCCAGAATAGTGCCTAGCAGTCTCATCTGGGTCAATTTATACTTGAATTCGCGCATACTTACTCTCCGCATGTCCCCAAACTCTAACTCTGATTCCTGGTGTGTGTTTTCCCGATCTAGGGCTTATATCAGTTCCGATTCGACTAGAGATAAATCATGATGCAGCCTACGAAGTTTCAAACGCATAGCTATAAGCATCGCCATAGATGTCATTGTCCACGAGCTGTCGGTGCTATATCGGGGTCCGCCAGTCGCGTGGTAGAGGCCGGCGAGCGCGAGCGCTTGTGCTGTGCGCACATCAGCACCCTCAAATATGGATTCAAGTGCCAAGGCAACCCGTCCCGCGTCGAAGAAGGCATCGGCCAATGTGTTGTAAGCCGGTAAAGCAAGATCCACCAGTGCTGCATGGGCAAATACAAAGAAAAGCACGGCAATTGCGTGGGGCGAGCGATTTTGTGAGGAGTAAATGGCAGCAAGAAGGATTTGCAGGTCTTGGGGCATTACAATTGCGGCGTAGAAAGACGCGTCAGCGATGTATATGTCACAGAGCTCCTTCGCTTGGTTGACATCAGGAAGGGAAGACAGCAGTGTTTGGAGGGAAGAGTCGATACCCCATTGGATTCCATACGTTGGGAAGGGTATTGAGTGTACTAGATGGTCGAAATAATGTGCATACTCAGCACGGTCACTGCCACTGCTGCCCTGAGACAGAATGCGCCCAATCCTGTGCACATGCCCATGGGCATTTTCCCATGGTAATTTGATGTGGGCATAACCTACAGGATGGCTCTATATATCCTATAGGATAGGTGGACTTATCCTACAGGATGCTTGAACATCTATCCTACAGGTTAACCAACCAGTCCTGTAGAAACGGTTCTCTATAGGATATGTAGCAGATATCTGTCCTGTAGTATGAATATGTCCTGTAGAATACTTATACCAATCCTATAGGATAGCTATCCTATCTGTCCTGCAGGATAGTAATATACCTATCCTACAGGATAGATACACCTATCCTACAGGATAAAGGAGACCCATCCTGCAGGATACATGAAAGGACCATCCTGCAGGATAATTGAAACAGCTATCCTGCAGGATGGTTGGCTCTCATTTATCCTGCAGGATAGAATTATGCATCCTACAGGTTACATTATGTGACAATCTGATCAGAGAGACCGCTACCATCTTGATCTTATCCACCATCTTTCCCTTCATTCTTACAACTATGGCCAGCCCACTTGCTGACATAGCCAGAAATACCGTGGCTACTCCAGTACTCCAGCATACTGTGCTGCTCTATATCTCAGTTGTTCGGCGTCTCTGGGACTACATTAAGCTGATGCATGTTCCGTGCTACCATGGAGAGCCTTTACCCTTACCACAAAACGTCATTTCCTTTCTTGCCTTGCATATTCTCCCTGCAGATGGTCTCAACAAGGAAGCTGAAGTTCAACAACTCTGGGAGATACTCAGAGACCATATTATGGAGTGGAAGGGGGTTAATCTGGATACAGAGATTAATGAGCTCTTAAGACAAAATGGCCCTGAGCATGACTTAGGTACATTATATATCCCTTCATTGATATGATAACTAAACTTTTCAGGTGCTTATATGCTATTACCCCCATATCGAACGTGCCAAAATCCAGTTTGCGATCATCAAGGTGCCAAATTAGGAAATACCTACAAGGTCCTTTGCCGGTTGTATACACTTCACAACGGAGTTCTTCCTGTCTATGATGTTGCCCTCTACTGTAGATGTAGGTATTCTATCCAACTATAGTCATATTTCTAAACCAACCTATAGACTGTCATACGCGCTACAGATATGCATACTCAGTCTCTCAGGCAATAGATGGCAGCTCTCAGAGAAACTATTATGAAGACTACAAACCCTATATCCATTCTCAAACCACCTCATTTGTTGAAGATAAGCTCTGTGTCTTCTTTGAAGATCTTATGTGCTCCTCCCAGTGAGTCTAATAAATTTATATATTTTTATATCACTACTCAACTCTATACAGTGTCTCTACGACTAATCTGGCAAGATCTTATAACTCTAGCCTTGGAATTACAGACACTGTTCTCCAAACCCGTCTGTCTCCATAAATACTTCAAAGTGCAGTATTAGATGCCTTCTACCTTCATGCTCTTCTGAGAAGAGCCCGTATGAATGGAATCCAATTGGTGACCTCACACCATGGAGAGCAAGATCATCGCTTTGATGATACACTGCATAGCTTTAATACTCTAATGGCAGCAACTGGTCAGCCCCAGCGTCATCATGGATGTCATGGGTGTTTCAAAATCATCCCACCAGAGGACTCTGCCAATGGCACTGCTCGTATGTCTGTTATCTTAGCTATCTATCAGTTCTCTTATTATCTTTCTAGAGTGTATTCATGGTGTGGTTACTGATGGCGTTACCATTGGTTATCCTCCTTGTTGCCGTGTTGTCAAGTGTCAAGTTCCTCTGGCATCAATCAAAGATAAATTCTGTCCAGATCATGCTGATCTGATTGATCGGTGTCTTGTGCGGACATGTACTGATAAAGCAGAAGTTGGTCATATTACGTGTGGTAATCCCTCTCATCGTGCAAAGGAGGAGGAGCATAGCAAATCTATGGAACCTGCACTGTTGGATCTGCAACGCCGCCTTGTGAAGGGCGGTGTATCAACACACTCCCCACGCAAGCAAGCAACATCATTGTCTAGTTTACACAGAAATAACGACAAGAAAACGGGAGGTGGTCTCAAGCTTGACCTGACACGCTAACAATACCCACCATGACCAACTTGCTGTCCTGCCCTGCGGTATTATTGTCGCCCCCAAACTATGTTTCACAGTGAAGGAGTATCTACTGTCAAGGTGCGTAGACAAAGTCTATATGATATCTTTTTATATTTAAGAGTTTGTAGGATTTCTTAAAAGGGATCTTTCCTCACCCATGGCTGCAGCCTTCTCACATCTTCTATGATCATGCATGTGGTCTACTTCAGCATATACAAGCTCAGAATGACCACTCATTTGATCATGTTCGGTTTGTTGTAGATGTTTTCCATGCACGTCATCATCATCAAGAAGACGGAGATACCTTTTGCAACCAGAACACCAATCCAGCACTCTGTCCTGAACTGCGTTTAACTGATGGTTCATGGATGCTCAATTCATCTATAGCAGAGCAAACCAATGTCTGGTATGGAGCATTCCAGGCAATTACTAGAGAGATGTCTATGGCAAGGTAAGTATTTTTTTTCTCTTATTATTCAGAACTTCATTATCATGACTAGATTCAATTTTTTCCTAGATGAAATGGTCTACCTGCGCAACGAATGGTTTCTTAGAGAACTGGAGCGCAAAGGCAACCAGCCTTTTGTAATTGATGTGGAGCATGCAAAGGCTATGTGGTTAGCTTCACATACAGAACCATCTCAGTAGCTCCATAAAGATAGTTGATCTATTAACTAAGTGTATTCCAATACTGTGTGCGTGAAACATAACTTCTACGTGCCGACTCCCGCATCTTGGCCGCATTGAAGTCCTTTGTCCGAATAGTTGTATGGATTCCTCGAGAGCGACACTTAGCATAGGTAGATGCTCTAGGAAGTACTGTCCCATGAAGCTCGTCAGGTCGGAATATCCTACAGACCATTTCAGTATCAGCCATCATTCAGACAAAACGAACCAGAAAGCATTTTCCTCCGTTCGGATGATAACACCCCAGATAGCATAAGCAAAATTAAACTCGTCATCTGCTGCTTGCTTTTTGAGTTGACAACATAGAGACCAGGTAGCATCGCTATCTGGGTGCAGTGGCGCTCCATATTCCCAGCAGTAAAAAGCATTCATACTGCTTTTACCGAATGAGTTTAAATCCTTACCTACCGCATTTATTTCCCTGACTATATGTGGTGCTATACCTTTTGGCGGCAGCTAGCATATAGTCGTTTACCTAGTATGGAAATTTCAGAACAGGTATAAAACAAATGTGAAACAAACCCGAGCAGCGTTCAAATATGTTGTTGCAGCCTGAGGAGTTCTGGCACTCTGGCAGGCATAGCTGCCATAACCCTCACCAGGTGCACCACCAGATGCGAGGCGATTACCGAGTAGCTTCATATTTCCAACGGCCTGTGTCTTGCTCCCTCTCTTCTTCGCATTTGCATACTCTCCAACCTCTGCATGATTTACACAGAGCTCCTCATACACATCTGGAGTAAAGGCCTGATACTGAACTGCGAAGCGCTTAAATGTGTTGTTAGATTGAGTGGTTTGGAAAAGGCCCACTCACAAAGGTACCGTCCGATGTCTGAAACTTTGTAATGTCCCGCCCACATGATTCGAAGACCTCAGGACGGCTACCGTACTCGGCAAAGTTTTCGATATGTGGGTTGCGAATCTTCTTCTATAAGGTAGGTGAGACTTGACCACAATATCAAGATAACGTCCTACCCCTGCCTCATAGCCCACCACATCCTTTTCACTTCCATAAGTAAAAAGTGCACCTTGAAGTCTGTCGACTTGGGCTTGTGTCCGCTTGTTGACAGTGATAGTACGGATACACTTTTGGTCAGCGTCCTTGAATTGACATCCAGGGCAAACTCCCCGATTCTCTGAATGCTCAGTGTCTGCAGCCTCCCCGTACGAGAGATCTTCCCGATTCTTCCTTTGCTTCTTCTTTGGTGGCTGAGATGATGGTCCGTCACGTTCAGGATGGTGTACACGTCGGTTGAAAGCATTAAGGGACTGGCGCGATTGGCGAGAGACAACAAAGATGGCATAGAGAACTCCAGTTCGTTCAATGTTGAGCTCAGCAGGGTTGAGTTGGTTTAGATTTCGCCAAAGATCGACCAGATCCCAGTTATCATCAGCAGAAGGTATTCCTGCCAAGTTCTGAATCATCATTAGCACTTTCAAAGTAAGTAAGTAAATGCCTACCAAGGCCCGGACTGTCGACTGAACCCAATCGATCCAACCACTGCGAAAGTTATCCCACGACAAAAGAAGACAAGAGTTGCTGGGTGTCGACGTGAGCTGGTCTACAAAACGTTCATGACTCATGACGTTTTCGATAAACAGTTTTGCTGAAACTCTATGACCCTAGGAAAGAAGAATATAAGTCGAAAATACATAGGTAGGGCCAGCACCATACCGTATTCCAACTATAGATATCATCGTTTTCAACTAGGTGTGGCAAGCACCCACTGGCTGGCGGGCAGCCGGCGACGAGCCCAAGAGAGCCCGTGCCTGGGCCTGCAGCATTCCCCATCCCATCGGCCGTCCGCGAGCGCGAGGGGCCGGCAGCGGCCGGGCGAGCACGTGCTCCCTCGGCGAGACACGTGCTTCCGGGCCGGGCGCCGTGCCTGGGCGTGCAGGCGCTCCCCCAGCGCTGGCAGGCAAGCGCGAGGGTTTGGGGCGGGTGGCGGGTGGCTTTGCCAAGTGCCCCGCCAGCGGGCAGTGGCGAGCTTGCCAAGCGCTGGCGGGGCGAGTGGCCTCG